CATGCAAAATTGTACAAGTGGTGGACTCAATACCTTTAGGAATATACTCCCAGTCAACCGGAGAACCAGGTCTTTTTTACCATCTTCTCTTATCTTGTCTGATTCCCTAACAAAATTGATTAAGATGATATCAGGAAAACATGTCCCCTTACTCTAGAGAACAAGCGCGACCGATCGACATTGCAATCGTGCTGCTCCGCAATCTTGGTTTATTCACTAGCATACATTGGCTGAGTTTTCTCTTTCTCCAGCGTCCGCTTGTTCGTTCAGGCGAGCTATTTCCGCCTTTTTATCTCTAGAATTTTGATAACCAATTAATTACCGATACTATTTACTATTTTGTTTGTATCACTATTTATTTATATAATGTAGTTATTTAATTCACAGTCTCATTAAATGCGCTAATAAACAAATAGTTCAAGTACCTACAGTTTCTTTTCATACTTAACAGCTAAGTTAATATTTTTTCTTTTAATGTTTCGATAAGCGCAAATTTTATAGTCTCGTATGGGTTGATGTATATGTTAATTAATTAACATTTAAAATATTATACAGTGACTGACAAACCGATATTAAGGTGTTCATACTTCTACTTGATACTATACATAACAAATACTGTAATATAACACTTTGTGGAACTGAAAACATAATCTTTTTTTCTGCTCTCAACCTTAAGGGTACAGAACCGCCCTCCCAACGGGGAAAGGTCTGGTGAATCTTTTATTGGATACCACACAGCTGGCTGTGAGGTTATATCAGACTCCTACTGACCAAACACCGCCTTGGACAATTGCTTGCGCAGGGGCAACGAACCTTTTTAATTATATGATAGTAGCTAGCTCGCATTAAGTTTATGCAGCAAAAAGCAATATTTTTAACCGAATTCTAAAGTCAAAAAAGGAGGTGATTATATGTACGACGGCGATGTAAGTTTTTTTACATATTTCACCGATTTTTGGTGACCGATTTTTTAAATTATTTATTTATTCGACAGTTTAAGGGACCGAGATGGTCCCATTTAAATTTTATCGAAATCGAATCGGTAGTTTTTTTTATAACAAAACAAAACACTCGTTTCACCATATATCATCTAAATATACAGATATGTATCCTATTTCATATATGTCAGCTAATACTCAAAAGATTGTATTTTGAATATTATCAGCAAATAAAGGGATGAAAATGGTAGTGAAAGTTTATTTAAGGAATGAAAACGTTACTATTATATCAATATCCAAGTATACAGTTCCCTAGGAACCACGCGAGCGAAGCCGATGGCGGTAATAGGTAATATAAAAATATCAATATCACTAAAAAGCATAAAAGAAAAACTTAAAAGAAAATATAAGTGTCTTAAAACTTCAAAAATGTGATAAATAATACTTATCTCAAAAGCGAATTATTCAAGAAATTGCTATTGAAGTCTATCATTTAACATCAGATATTCTATTCAGATATAGGTACTACTGTTTTTTAATATAAACTGCTTTCCCGCGACTTTATCCTCGTAAATTAAAGTCTAACACCTGGTTTCTGAATTCAGAATTTAAAGTTGAGCATGTCTCAAACCGTGCTTAAGCCATTTTGAACGTCAATTAAACAAGTTTTCATTACTGATTTATAATTTTTTATTTAATTTAATGATCAGTTGATAGCAATTTGATAAAACTAGGACCTTTAACCACATGAAATGTAAAAAACTTAAGATATTGAGAATAATCAGTTGAGATTTTGTGCTTTTCTCAATTCAGAAATCGGCCGTATGTCACCAATGTATGATATAGTTTCTCGTAACTGAAATAATTTCCAAAAATGGGTCTAAGAATCTCGCAGTCTGTTCAATGCAAACAATCAATCAGTAAAACCGTTCCTCCTTAATAAGTTTAATAATCTACGTAAGTATATTTCTGGTATTACAATTAAATTCAGTTACCTACTTTTTTATAATATAATTAACCAAAGCATAAGGAAAAATATCACGTGCATAATATAGATAGTAAATTAGTGAGTTGAAGATTATGTAAAAATATATAAACATAAGTTAATCACTCCTACTTAAAGACAATAAGGACCATGAAACATGAAAATTGAACGTACATATTTTTAGAAGTGACTTACAGTGAGGTTATTCGTAAATACACTAGATAACCTCGTCCAAGAAAAAACATATCAGTTGACTTTTTGACCCACCCAGCTCTTACAACAGTCATGAATAAGTGTATTGTCGAAGAATCATCTCATTAGTCCCATTTACCGATACGTAGTAAGTTTTTAATAGAATACGAGACGAGCACAAATATTTATTATGTACAAGCGTATGATGTGTGTACGAGCGGCTTCCGGTAGATGAAATAATGTTCATGATCAGATCAGTATTTCCGAAGATTATCACCAACAACTAAACAAAGAAAGACTTTTTTATAAGTTTAATTCACGTAGACCATTCTATCTGTGGGTTCACAAAATCTTCTGAAATCTCCTTCTTCTTCTTGAATAGGCAACAAAGTAAAGCATTACTATTTTGCCAATACCTAACGATGGCCCAACTTAAAGAAACTCAGCTCACGATCTTCAAGATATAACGTAGAATTTTACCTACATACTGACAAACAATAGTTGTACTATGCTGGTTTTATCTGTGCATCTAATGAATTATTATTTTATTTATGAACAATTTCAGAATCAGAATCAGCGGTTCACTAGCTCTTGCCACTGTCGTTTTCTGGTGCTCTATATCTGAGAGTACAACGCAATTGGAGGGGCTGACGGACGCAAAACCGAAGAAATGCAGCCACGAGAGAGCTTATGACATGTACGGCGCTTACTGCGTGGGGTTGAAGCTGAATGAGATACCAAGTCTCAAGAGTGGAATTGAGGCAAGCTACGGTTATTTTTACTATGAAAATGCAAATTTATGTCGCAACAATACCAGATAATGTAATGTTTACATTAACTTCTGAATTTAAGAAATTAGAAGTAACAACGAACTCAGCAAATACCTTTCGTTAAAGTACCTAAATAAAATATTGGGTTGGCACAAAAGTAATGAGACACACTAGAAAAATCTATAACATTTCCTTTTTAAAATCAATTTTTTCGATAATATTCTAGAATTTTGTAGAACATTCTAGGTACTTCTGGTGTAGGGTATATAAAGCCGCGCTCGCGATTTGTTTAGTCAGTTTGAAGAAAAATGAACGAGCGACAAGTTCGAACACTATACTTATACGAGTACTTGTTAGGCCACAGTGCGCGGGCTGCGGCTGACAATATCAACAATGCATTAGGCGCTGGAAGTACAAGCCATGCGACGGTGTCCCGATGGTTTGACCGTTTTAAATCAGGAGACAGGAGCCTTGAAAGTCAGCCACGCTCAGGGCGACCACCCGCAGTGAATGATGACGATTTGCGCCGCGAACTGCAGTTGAATCCGGATGCTACCACTCGTGAATTAGCGGAAGCACTTAAATGCAGTCCCCACGCCGTGGAACACCATCTGCATGAGCTTGGTTATCGAAAAGTTTTGGCTCGGTGGGTACCGCACATCCTTACAGACGCCAGTCGTGCAGTCCGTGTCGCTATCTGTCAGTCACTTTTGCTGCGACCCCGACGTAAAGAGTTTATGTTAGATCTGGTTACTGGAGATGAATCATGGATTTATTACGAGAACGATACACGTCGTGCTTTTTGGCTGCCTCGAGAAGAAACGCCACCAACTCAACCGAAGCCGAGTCAAAAGAACCGCCGAAAAATTCTGCTTTGCTGTTTCTGGGATGCGCAAGGCATACTGTTTTATGAGCTATTACACAATGAAACTATAAACGCTGACAAATATTCAACCCAGCTTACCAAATTATCTGCCGCTATCAAGAAAAAACGACGAAGACGAGTCAATGTAGTTTTACTGCACGATAACGCTCGACCTCACGTCGCATCTGTGGTTCGCCGGCAGTTGGAGAACTTGGGCTGGGAGACGATACCCCACCTACCTTATTCCCCAGACCTCGCCCCATCAGACTATCATTTGTTTAGAGCCCTGAAACAGCATTTGCGGGGTAAACAATTTAATGATTTCTCTGACGTAGAGGCGGAGTTGAACAACTTTTTCGAGGCACAGCCATCAGAGTTCTGGGCAAAAGGCATCCAAACTTTGCCAGATCGTTGGCAAGAAGTCTTAGATACTAATGGTAATTACATCATTGACTAAACTTTTTTTATTGTAATAATAATAAAAAAGTAAAAACTTAAACCTCAGTGTCTCATTACTTTTGTGCCAACCCGATATAATGGGGTCTATAACTATTTAGTCAGTCAGTCAGATAATAGAAAAATATTAGATAATTATGAGGAAGTATTTAAAAAAAGAAAGCACTAAAAAAGCACCTCCAATAGATGGCGACTCTAGCAAAAGTTGTTTTTGCAGGAAACGAGTGGACCAAAGACAGTAATTTCCGTTCCTTTTGTGTAATATATTAAATAACTGAAATTTGGAAAGTTCGTAACTTAGATATCAATACAAATACGAAAAAGAGTATGAGTTGTTTATTGAGTTTTGAAGACTAATTTACTTTTAACCTTGAGAGACAACCGGAACAACCGGGTTTAGTATTTTTCAACAATCTAACTGACGGAAAAGAAACAAAAATTACTCGTCATCGCTATTGATGTTGCCGATTTTATACAAACTTATTTTGTTTTCCGTAACTAAAGTATCTTATTCAATAATATTACTTTTTCAGATTCTTGACTTCAGCGAGAACAGATTGCAGGATTTAAAAGACGACACTTTCATCAGCTATACGAGTATAAAATATCTGTACCTATCAGAGAATCAAATATACAACATAGACAAAAATGCATTCACTCCTCTCAGCTATTTGCAGACTTTGGATCTCTCCAACAATGTAATTTTCAACCTGCCTGAGACAATTTTCCAACTGCCGTCACTACGAAAACTTTACCTTAAAAATAATCCGCTACTACACTTGAGTTTACATAAAATGCAACTTCAGACACCCATCAAAGCACCATTGGAACTTCTAGACATTTCGAATTGCAAAATAATTGTGTTACCGAATTGGGGTATTTTACCACATTTGACTCATTACAATATCTCGCATAATCCACTGTCGACACTAGAACCAAGTCATTTTGCACCTATGTGCAAATTGGAGAAAGTAGATATTACAAATGCGATTGATAAGGTCCCGCATTGCAGTCTGAAACCTACGATTTATTGGTTACAAGAAAAAAGGGTTTACTTCCAGCTTGACGATTACTCAAAATTAAATACAAATGGTTAGTATCAGTTTTCTATGATATTCGGTGTAAAGGCCCTCTTGTATCTCCGTTTACGTTCCCATACAAATACGCAAAATTGAGGTTAGATAAAGACACACTCGCTTAATTTCATACATTTGTAATCACAGAAAAACACAAATGCAGTTATAAAAAAATTGTGATTAAAAGAATATAATAAAACCTACTTTTGTATATATATTTTATAATATCAAGATAGATGTACAAGTAGTAAAATCGAGGCAGAAAGCCTATTTAGTCAGCTTTGCGATTCTTTTCTATCGCCCCAATTATTGGTCTGTTTATAATTCTTTTTATAATTACAAGCAATCGATCATATGTTGAATTTTCAAAAAATGATTTTTATTTAAATTTTTAACAATTACCGAGTGGATTTTTTGGGCATATTTCAATAAGAATGATTTTCACTTTTAAACTATCGCGCTGCATTATTAAATACTTATAATACTGGGTATTATTGGTATTAAATTATTTGGCAAATATTAGCATAGCTTTAGAATAAAATTGGTTTCGTACAATCTCGCTTTAAGCGGAGAATTCACTACACGGGCAGGCCGACCTCGTTTAGTATAGTCTAGGGTACACATGTCTGGCTAGTAAAGGACCGTCGCAGTCATAACACCAACCTATAGTAACGAAGTCTGGTAGGCATTTCTGCCGACTAGCCCGCGGGCATGCCCGTCTAGTAAATTTCCCGCTTTAGCTGTCACATTTTATTCTTCTTCTTCTTTTAAATTAATGGCTTATCTGCGCATTTCGCACAATTCTGCCAATGTCAAGTAAATAAATTAATTTTTACATGTAAAATGAAAATGAAATGAATGAAAGATTTACTAAACTTTTGCATAAAAATGGAGACATAAAAGGAATTTCTATGGAAAGGATATAATTTTTATACAGTCAACAGCATCTCAGACTACAAATGTGACATTGTGGTAACCTGACGTGCAGTTGTGTATTATAAGTAGTTCATACAATTTTATAATTAGTGGTAGAGATTATTATAGAATCTACAAATGAGTACATTAATAAAAAATACAACACTGTACAGTTTATAATTTTCGGATAATTTTTTTAGAATTCGAAAAGTGTCCTGCTGCGACGGAAGAGTTTGGAGTTCTTAATGGGACCCATCAACGGTGCAAAGCAGTTAATTTACAGGTATATATTTTAATCACCTCTATACTTATAGTGCATATAATGTAGTCGTATGAAACGAAAATGATCGAGTTTACTTCTGAATAAGCTTGTCCCATTATCACTGTCATTTATGCTCTTGGGCTGGATTAAAATATTTTTTCTATAGGTATCTCGTGTCTGGGAGCAGTTGTATCTTAGTTTTTTTTTATTCCCATAGCTATTTTATTTAGGATCCGATCAACATATGTGATGTCCTCTTATATTTATATATTTTTTTAGTTTCAGAGCTACAAAACGTCCCGCAGGACGTGGTTGAAAGTGGCCGGGGGATTAGCAGGCTTCCTAGTGGGATTCATATTATTACTGTATTTAATGCACCGACATAATGTCGCTCAGACCAAGACCAAAGCTGAAAAACTCAAAAAAACCATACCGCCCAACGATCCTGACAAGCAAGCTACGGTTCCAATACTCGTGAATGAGTCAAATGTTTCCAGGCTCTGACTTACGAACTTGTTGAAATGAGGAAGTATTAAAAAAAAAACGAATGCACTAAAAAAACACCGCCACTAGATGGCGACTCTAGCAAAAGTTGATTTTTGCAGGAAACGAATGGACCCAAGATAGTCATTCCTGTTCCTTTTAACTTACATATTAAAAAACTAAAATTTGAAAGTTCGAAACTTAGATATTAATACAAATACGAAAAAGTACAAATAGAATATGAGTTTTTTATTGAGTTTTGAAAACTAATTTACTTTTATACATGAAAGAAAACCGGAAGGGCTGTCATGGAGAAATCAATAACGTACCGTAGCGACATCTAGTTTGATTTCGGGAACTATTTTTTTAAATACTTTCTCATTAACCGAATAAATCTATGGAATAAGAATGATCGCTGTTTAACATGTTCATTGTCAAGCCAAAATCGTGAACTTGCATTAAAGGACAATTAGCGAGTGCGACTAAAACTAAAACGACCATACGCGACATCGCGTTTTCAGCCATGGCGTAATTGACCGCTTCACGCGACGTCTTAGTACGGCAATGAATGTGTTAAATGACAAATATTAAAGACAAAAAATGTTATAGTCAATCCAAAATACCTGTACCTACATTATGGTGAAATTGCCATTACCTACAATATAAAAATTAATTTAACATAATAACCTTATAACAAGGCAGGCGACACGATTTGACCATTGTAAAATTATGTATGATCCAGTTTTGGCCATTTTAAGAGTTACTATTCCTATACTCCATTCATTATAACATTCGAAAAAAGAGGGTCATAGAAGCAGCAGTGCAGAACATTTTATTTTGAAGATAAATTTAAAAAATATATATTATAGTTTTGTTGAAACTTTGAACGTTTGTAGTCTGAAAGAGGTGGGCAATTTTCCATTTTTTTACGATACCTCGGGATTGAGATGATTTTCTAAGGTCAGCATTTTCTAAATTCATCTTTTACTCTCAAGCCAACATGGAACTAAAACCATCTATCTGTTGTTTTGATAAATTCTAATTGTAAGTGTATATAATTCGGCGGCATCGTCCATATTTAACAAAACTTAACAACAAAAACAAAACTAACAAAACAAAAATAAAACAATAACAACTTAATCACGGAAATAATCAGCAAAACAACAAGAGAGGCAGTAGCATTCACAATGGATGACAATCCCAGATTACGTATTTTGACAATTATGAATACATCATAGTCTGACAAAATTAAAAAGCTGTACAGCAGAAACGTTTGAAGGGATTAGGCAACATTTTAAATTTAGTAGAGTTATAGTGACATGAGAATCGTGCCGAAACTATCCAACCCTGCTTCTTTAGGTTCTTTAAAATGAACACTTTTTATTGTAATAGTTATTAAATCATTTAAGTTAATCAAATACTCATAAATTTGTTTAAAAGATAGCTTAAATGACAACAGTTAAGTATAGCAGCTGGTATTTAAGTGAATATGTAGCAAATTAGCCGTCAGTCTTAAGAGTAAGATGATTATTAATATTTTGTCACTAAGTATACCATAAAAAGTACCTTATTTAACTTCTGTCTAATGCTATAATGAATGGAGTATAGTAATAGTAACTAACACATGGCTGTTTTTTGTAATGCGTCATTTTAATAACCGTTTACGTTAAACTAATATATTTGCCTTAGCGTAATTTAGAACGCTTTAAAGTTCCAAATGATCAAAAAGAGGACAGTTGTCAAATCCAGGTCTTTGCCCTATCTGCAGCCGAATTTACATTACGAAACTAATTTCACGTGTGCTGAAATTAGTTTCAAGAAATATGATCACTAATTCCGGAATATAAATTCGGCTAGTCCTAAAGTTAATATTCTACTAGATTAACTGAAAAATAAAGAATTACAAATAAGTAGTTAATTAATTTTTGATTACTTTCTTAATTTCTATGTGATCTGATATACAACCTCTATTTAAAACGATTATTTTTTTATCCTATGCTCATTTCCATGAGTTCAAATACATAAGCTTGTTTACACTTCACTTTGGTCACTAAATGCATCATTTTAAAGCGGTTATAGTGTGGTCATTAACAGAGTTTGTTACATTGGTACATTTATAATCTCTATAATCAACTGCGATTAATAAATATTGGATTATAGCTTTTTTATTTATTATTGCTGCTTAAGCATCTCCAGAGTTATATTAAAAAAGATTCTTTAAATATCAAGTCTTCCCAAATCTTCCATGAAATAAGTTAGATTTATAATAATTCGTTTATATTTAAGATAGATATACTTTTATACAAGAGGCTTTAAAAGGCTGATTAGGAATAGGATTATTCTAATATTTTTTATAGACAATATGAGAAGAGTGCAATTTGTTATTAAGATATTTCGGTTTAGAAATGGAATGGATGTTAGTAAATATATATAGAAACGGAGATGGCTATAAAAATTGTTATGTTGTTTTTGAAAAATATTTAATAAATTAATTAAAAAGAAAATCTTAGTAGTCAGACCAATCCACTTACAGAATTCGTTATTTGTTGGGTGAACTCAGACAAATAAGAAAAATTAGTCGTTGTCCAATTCAAGAATTTGCAATGCCTTTGTAACATGACTACCAGAAAAATAGTTTCCATAAATATGAGATTCGTGATTTAATACTACATTGAGTGCGTTAAATATTTGTATAGAACTTAGTAATTCTAGATATTTTACAATCTAAGAATATATTAGGCTAGTTTCCATACTAAAATGTTAGGCATCCGATTGTTAATATTAGACTGTCAATGTCTTAACTCTACTACGCATCCATGATGCACCCAGAGGTTCGATCACATGTTACAGAGATTTTAGTGTTAATATTTATGGTTTCCTTCAGTTAGATAATAGATCGAATTTCGTCAAAATTTTATATTCGAAGTCTGCTGAATACAATTCATTTATAAATTATTATTTGTCGTTTCTTTATTATTGTATTAAAACATTACCAACATATTATTTTATTTGTCGTTTTTATGAACTAAAATCCACTGTGATAATCGAAATAAATTTTCCAAAAAAATATATTGTTTAATTTATTTTAGTGTAGCCGGTCGGGTATACAAAATTCTAAAGTTTGTCCAGTTGATTTTAACTTTACGACTTTTCAATAAGTTCAAAATCAATTGCATAAATTTGACTTATTTTGGTAACCTGACGCGAAGAATTATCTTATAGTTGTCAGTGCAAATCCAACGGAAGACCTATCAGCGTCTTACGGATGTATGCGTTACTACGCAACGGACCTTCTGTCGAATGTAAAAGTGGAATGTCATATTATTATGACAATTGAAGTTAAGCGTTGGCATCTCATCTGCAGTCATTGACATCCAATTGACATCCACTAATGCGCACTGAGCCTTGTGTGGTGAGTCAAGCCTTATTCCCCTATTCAATGCCATCCATAGAGAAGACTGTGCCAATGTGGAGGGATATTAATAGCCTGATGGTGATTAATAAATGACGACGGTGAAGCGACACGTCATCCGCTAGATATACACCAGTAACTCTATCAGAATGTATGTATATGTAATAAAACATTCCAGTCCCAGTTTCAAAAAATTATTATATTTAAATGAAATAAAACAAACTGAACTAAATGGTCATAAGCTAAAAATATGAAGCATTAGATGCTACGCTGATTTTTGTCACAAATAATAATAATAATAATAAATCTCAGACTCAATACAGTATGTAAATTAAATGAATCAATAAAATAACAGCTTTGAATAAACAAGAACAGTGGTTCCCTCAGTTGGCATGTCTTATGGCCTTTTCTACCGCATCTCCAAGGACATGCATTGAATGCCAGCTTCAGGGTGGTTCCGTCGAATGGTGTCCAATTTTCGTGAAATGTAACTGTAGCCTCAGGTGTCTTTCTTTTCACTTTCATTCACTGATTTATCCTTATCTTTCGCCAACCGTTGTTTACTAAACTTACCCATACCTGGCTGATATATAACAAGGCTTGGTCGATCCTAAAAAAATAGTCAATTTGTTATAACAATAAGTCTTTCACACTTCATTCATCTTAGTTTCAATATAATTTACCTTATTTCTAATTCTTCTTTCTGTGCGACGATCTATACTTTCGCTTTTTTCCTTCTCTTCTGAACCTTCTCTATCTGAAGACTTACTTCTGTCATCTAAGCTCTTTTGTCTTCGTAACACTGACTCTTCTTTGTCTGCAATACCACCCGATTCCAAGCTGTTCCGCCTAGCTTTTGAAACATCGAATACTTTGTCTGTGACATTATCATTAGAGTCTTTCGTATCTTTTTGTGTTTTGGAATCGTCCACTTTGAGCTTTTTCTCCATTCCATCTATAATTTTGGTTAGATCATCAGTTTTAACCTGAGGCAGTTGTGTAAATGGTTTGATATCATCATGGTTGAGTGTTTTTGATTTATTCTCTGAATACATGATTTTATTTATAGCTGACTGTTTATCAGATTTCGAAGATTCTACTTGTTTCATTCTATCTTTCCTGGTATCACTATATTTTTTGCTTTTAAGCTCACGGGGTGAATCTTTAGTAAATTTATCTCGTTTATCTTTCTTATAACCTTTATCAGAATCATCAGCTTGATCCTCTTCTTTTCCTAATATTTCTTTCTTGTCAATATCCATTCTTTTCTTCTTATCTGCACTTGCTACAGAACCTGATTTTCTATGCTCCCTAAATGTTTTTGATTCAAAAATGGTACTATCTTTTCCATCAGTCTTAACAGAATCATCTTTTGACTCGGATTTCTCTTTTTCCCATTCCCTCGATTTGATTTTCTTTACATCGGTGTCTGCAGTTTCTTCCTCCTGAAATATTCATATATTTTAATAAAAATATTATTTAAATGTATTACTTTCAATTACATTTAAATAATATTTTTGTTAATCAAAACAAAACGAAAATAAACTGCAAGACAAACTATCTACAAAACCGTAAGAAACAACGTTGAAAACAACTCTCCCGATGCGACTGGTCACCGAAAGAAAAGTAGGCCATTACCCTCCAGCCACAAACACCAAGACATATTCATTTGAACACTAAACACGAGAACTTTAAGTACGTTAATACATATGGCTTGAATAGACATTAGAAAATATTCACTGGTATATATATAATAGGACAAAGCGAAGTTCGAAGACTATATTTTGTACTAGAAAGGCGAAACACAAGGTCTGCATGGGGTGGGATTTCTTGTAAGAGAAAACTTAAAAAATAACATAAGTAACTTTATAGATGTATCAGAAAGAATCCCAGTGCTGTACATCAATCTGAAGGAAACACGGTCTATTGTAAAAGTATATGCGCCCACCAACATATCAAACGATGACTACAAAGACAATGTTTACGAACTTCTAGGGATAACTTCAGAAAATAATGCTCATAAGAATATTATAATATTGGGTGACTTCAATGGACAGATAGGCGAACAAAAAGCCAAAGCAATGGCAATAAATGGAAACTTCAGCACCAGAAAATGCAACGATAATAATGGCCAGAGGCTAATAAACTTTGCTCTTCGGAATAACTTACATTTTATGAACATATTTTTTAAGAAACGTAAGAACAGGTAATGGACATGGATATCACCGGACACTAACTTCAAAAACGAAATAGACTTCATTCTCACAAACAAACTACGAGCGTTTAAAGATGTAAATATAATAAATCGACTTAACTTCAATACCAACCACCGTATTTTTTTACGATTAACTATAGCATGCTTTACTTAACATTAGTAAAGGAGCTACCAACGAAAACGTTGATAAAGATAAAATAGGGCCGACAACAAGATAATTAATTCCTTGTAAAAAGGAAGACGTTACTATTAAACTTTAAAGAAAATAAAAAATAAACTGCTCATTAGTAAAGAAATCAACAAAAACATAAGGAAACAGAAAAGATCTACGTATTAACAAACTCAAATACTACACAGAGAAATCAGGTGCAATTAAAAGGGCCTTTAAATAATTGAAGGATCATACGTCATAGATACCAAATTAAAAAAAAAGAGGAAGATTTGAGTCAATAGGAATAACAGTGATGATAATCTTCACTCGGAAATGGAACTAACAAATATAGAGAAACAAGATGAGATTCCGCCAATTTTGGAATGTGATTGAAAAGAACAATCCTGACCCAAAAAACAACAAAGCTACAGGCGAAAATAGTATTTGTAATGAACTTTTGAAGGGCTCATTAAACTTATTAAAACACCTCTCACAAAGCTATTTAATGGCATTATCAACAAAGAAAAATCCTACATAATGGTCAAAATCTACAATGATACTTCTGCACAAAAAAGGTGACAAAGATCAATTCAATAACCACAAACCTATAAGCTTATTATCAAGCATTTATAAAATCTTTGCCAAAATCATTCTGACAAAATTAGAGAATCAATAAGATGTGTATCAACCAGAAGAGCAAGCAGGTTTCTGTAGTGGATACTCTGACCACATACATGTAGTTAGGCAAATATTAGAAAAATATGAGTACAACTTAACATATTATCTAGCTTTCATTGACTATAGTAAAGCTTTTGATTCCTTAATACACAACAAAACTGGGAAGCTCTACAAGAAAAAGGCATTTATAGCATAATAGTATAATAAGGTGTATATACAAACACAGTATGTCATATGTACAGTTGGAAAATAAAGGGGACCCCATTAGAATATAAAAGGGAGTGAGACAAGGAGATCCACTGTCGCCCAAATTTTCTCTACCGTATTCGAGAAAGCAGTTATAGGTTTGACCTGGGACAAATATGGACTAAATATAAACGTCCTCAAGCTCACTCACCTGAGCTGACGACAATGTGATGTTTGCCTCATCTTCAAAAGAACTAAATACAATGATTGAATTGACTAAGTGAAGTAAAGAGGTGGGACTTCAGTTAAATACCGGAAAAACCAAGGTTATGTCGAATGGACCTAAGGATGCTATAAATATAAATACCATGGTCAAATAATATCACCTCAAGATACAATAAATAAAAAATAGAAAGAAAAACTGTAAATGCGTGGAAAAGTTACCAGAGCTTAAAAGAAGTAATGAAGATTAATATATCCAAATACAATTAAAATCAAGACTTTTACATAGCTGTATATTGCCTATTCTGATCTCAGTAAGTCAAACCTGTTCCTTAACCAACAAAAATATCAACGCTTTAGAAACCTGCCAACGCTCAATGGTCTATGTTAGGAATAAAAACAATAGATAAACTCAGAAATGATATAATAATGAGAAGAATGAGAAGAAGAATATCTGTGATGTTAATGTAAATATCAAACGATTAAAGTGATGGACCGAAAGACTCACTGCATGGTGTCTACTTACATGTACCCAACAAACGGAAAAAACGAAGAGGTAAACAGAACAAGAAAATTGCTGGAGTACCTGGAGCAGAGTAGGCAGAAACAGAAATGAGTGGAAGCGGCTAGAGGAGGCCTTTGCCAAATGGCAAGCAGAAAGTCATAATAATTAAGTTTATTTGAAATAATATATGTATATTAGTGTTTTATAATTCTGAATTAAATGGTAAGTAAAAGCGTTACATTTAAATGTATATAGTCAACTACACAATTTTCACCCACATTTACTTGAACAATACTTAATGTTAATTAATAATAAATTCTACTTAATATGTACCTAATCTGATAAATATTATTATAACTGCAGACTATCATAGCATAATACATAATAAGGTTAAAAAACGCGGTAAAACCTTAGAACAAGTGTCACCGCCACTTTTCTGACTTTCTTCTAGTATATCTTTTTTCTCACAAACTTTACTAGACGCAAGCGTGAAAGTATTATGAGATTTCATTGATAAGGCTGGAAAATGAGTGTCCCAGTCAGAATCAGTGCTGATAAATTCATCAGAGCCATGAGCACTGTTCACGTCTGGTCCAACAGTACAACGTATTTTACTTTTGTGATAGACCCTTTGTTCTCCAAACCAAAAATTCTTATGTTTTTGATCATAGAAATCACTATTTTCAACATAATTTTCATCTTCCGATACATCACCATATTCACCAGATCTCTATAGGAATTAAATAATTTATCAAAACACTAACGTTTTTATATTTGCTTATGAGATGCAATAAAGAGAATTATTGGAAAAAATTACATACACATGTAATTTTTTTTACAATAATTGAACATTGCACATACATACTGTGATATTTTAGATTTTATTTCATAACATTGATTTTAGAAAGGAAATATGTAGTAGCAGAAACACTTTTATTATTATATTTGCTATCACATGTCCATATTTTTTTGCATAATAATATAGATGAATATCTTTTGGTTTTGCAGGTTACTTATACATTACTATGTGTTTGCTTTCTAGCATCGATATATTAATGTTGCTAATCATATCAGCTACCAATGAGGAAGTATTTTAAAAAAATTAGTTCCTGAAATTAAACTAGATGTTGCTATGGTACTTTCTTGATTTCTCCATGATACTTCTGGTTTTTTTGATGTATAAAATTTATTTTCGTAGCTCAATAAACAAACCATATTCTATTTGTACTTTTTCATATTAATATTGATATCTAAGTTTCAAACTTTGCAAATTTCAGTTTTTTAATGTTAGGTAAAAGGAACAAAAATGACTATCTTTGGTCCATTTGTTTGGTCCATTTTTGCAGGAAATAAATGGATGTCTCCAGCAAAAATAAACTTTTGGTAGAGTCGCCATCTAGTGAGGTGCTTTTTGAGTGCTTTCTTTTTTTTTCTTATAATACTTCCTCAATGCTTTTTTAACAGAAAAGATAAAATCCATTTGCAGGTGAAGATCATAATATTAATATTCACCTTGATGGGAATTTCCTTTGTTTTGCGTTCAATCCTCATTTTTCTCTTGTCATTTTCTCTCCTACGCCTCTCATCTCTACCTCTCTTATCTTGTTTACGGGCTGCAAGATATTCTAATAAGGGAGTTGATTGTACTTTTTTATCATTTCCTGTAATGGGAAAATATTATTTCATAAAATAAAACAAAGTCACTTGCTGCTTGTATTGTATGCTGAGATAACATTAAAAATCATATATTCTAATTGAAGATATTAATATTATTATACCCTTATTAATATATAATATTCGTCTATGTAAATGTTCATAATTATTATTAACTAAACAAAATATTCCAGGAGAACATAACCCATGATAAATTATTATCTTTAGAACTATACAACAGATTTTAAGGCAGTTTCCATAAACATACAGTGACTCAAGAGGGACTTTTATATGTATAGTATAGAACAATGTGGGCGAAGACGCTGGCAGAAAACGAGTTTTATTATAAACCACAAAATATGTAATACAATATTTTCATGTTAATAGGGATCTAGTCAAACTTCTTTTTTATATTTTATAGATATACTTGAAATATATGTGAAAAAATATTATATAAAACTATAATTCATATAATAAGTAATTTTCTATTGCTTTATGTACACATAAGGGTGAATTCTCCATGTTCTGCTATGAGTAAGTCGTGAGGTCAGGTGCTGTTTGCGGTCATGTGACAATGAATATAAAATATTTGTTTTTCATAATTAATTTAAGCAACATTATTAAGCATAAAAGTGTGAATATCAGTAATACTATATTACACTACTAGAATATATATATGTGTGTGTTTATTTATCCATATTATTGTACCTCTCAAATAACTTGCATGCTACAGAATGTACTCATAAACTCATGAAGTTCTCGCACAAAAAAAATAATAGCTACTTTCTATATATGTTTTTTATTCTATCCTGTTATTTATCCACTGTCAAACAATAATGTAAAGTGTACATTATGGAGCATTGAAGCACTGTAAAGGACAAACATTTTGTAATTTTTTTTTATGAATAACTTTTTTGTGCTTTCAATCATAAAAACAGTCCACAATATTTTGGTTATGTAAAGTTAGAATTGTGATTAGAAATATGTTGCTTTATTTTCTCAATGCCCCATTACATACATTTTAACTTATAGCACTAGACAAACTTACCATCATTAACAGGATATGAATATTCCAGTTTAGGTTGACTTTCTGTTTCGGGATCTTTGTTAAGACTCTCAATGAACTCCTGGTAAATTGGATCACTTTCAATTGTACCACATTTAGGATCTTTCTTTTTCTTCTTTTTGGGAATTCTTTGGAATGGTGCATACTCAACTATTCCTATGTATTCAATACCTGAAGACTCAAACAAAAATAAATATGTAAATAAATCCAAGTAGTGTGTTACTATAGTGTATTTATTATTAAAATTATGAATTGACCACATAATCCAAAACAATTATCAAAATGTTTATAACCACCTTTTTCATCCAAAAAAATATATCCATCGAACTTGTCGCGGAAGATGTAAATATCCTCAATATTGAGAAAATTTATATAAGCTCTTGAATAAACATTATTTCCAAGAGACAAGTCAGGTTTAGCAAAGTAGAAATGGTCATGTTCAGGCATGGGTGAAATTTGTTCTAAAAATGCTTCCTCAGTCATGGTAGGTGGCAAACGACGAAGTATGATCTGAAACCAAGTATTTCTTTTAACAAATAACTAATGGAAAAAGTAATGGCAACAAACCCTAAACTGATATAGTTACTTTGGTTAGTGGACGTTGACTCTTCGCTTTCTTGTCTTTGTTCTTGTTAATAAACGTTTTGCTCCCTGAATCAGATTGTGAATCTTTAACATCTTGATCCTCGGTCATTTTTCAAATAGTTTCTAAATATAATGCGTTAATTAACTAGCTCGATTGCTCGGCATTATCAAAAATGCTAGGCAGATATCGTGTGAAATTTGACAACGGTTAACAAAAATGTCAAATCTGACAGTACTTCTCTGTATGTTGTAGTAATATTAGGGCAAAGGGTTTTTTGCCCGCACAGTCTTATTATTTTATATTATTACTCCTCTAACGTTGGCTTGAGAGGTGCATTTTTTGAAAACAGTACTTTTTAACAACAACTATTTTCTTGCATTCTTCTTCTTCTTCTTTTATTAATGGCTTATCTGCGCATTTCGCACAATGATCATCAAACTGCGCATAGTTTGACACCTCATTCGGTTTATTTAGTCCCTAATCGAGTTAGGGAGATTTCGTATCAAGTTAACTCGAGTTACACCCACCTCAAAAGACGGTTTTTTCTTCGAACTTACAAAAATGTTTAAAAATGTGTGACTTTGTATTTTTTAAATTGTGGAACGGACAACTTTCTGAAAACTTATTTCTACAAAAAATATTATTTTATGTAAATAAATCTCATAATTTTATTAATCTTAGTGTAAAAAGAAAACTCATATATACATACATGAAAAATCGGCTTTAAGTACCATTTGCCTCAAAAGATACGAGTACAATTACGAATTTTACTGAAAAACATTTCAGTGAACACTAAGAATGTAAACAAAAATAAACACTATGAATGAGCTAATGATCTGTTACTCATAATAGTCATAGTAATAGTATTTTAGTATTATTTTGGTACACCAAAATACCAAAGTACACGATTGTGATTCGATCCAAGGAAGTGAAAACGCTTTTTTAAGTAGGAGGGTGTAGATGGATCATAAAAACCTTGTAAATTAGGGTAAGCATTTGTACTTCGTGACGTAATCTAATAGGGTGCCACTCAAGTTTACGCCTAAATTCCGATATGTGGTCGTACTTACGTAAGCCGTAAACAAATCTAATACATAGATTCTGTAAGCTTTCAAGTATATTGAGCACCTCTTCACTAAAATAAATAAGGCATACATCAGCGTAGTCCAAAATCGGTAGAGTTGTCTTTAGTGGGAGCAGGTTTTTCCATCTTCTCAATGAACCCGTAGCAGCATACATTTTGCGACTAACTTCGGTGAGTCAAGACAAGACGAAATAAATACGAAGATAAGAAGAAAAGATTAGGCTTTACCTTATAAAATAATATAATAAAGAATATAATAACCCAAGATTTTGCTTAGTTCTTTCGCCTGACCCGTTATAGCTGAAGGGTGTTGAAGTATATCATATAAACAGTACTCTGCCAAATTTTCAAAACCTTTGCATTAACTTTTAACTTTCAGTAAAAAGGCTAATTTTTAATAATTAATAAATACATCGAGTGTGCTATGTCACATCACTATTTTAGGTTAATGACCTTACCAGGAGTAATGGCACACTACCTATCTCCTATGTTTTCTAATTTTTTTTTCTATTCTCCTAGTACACACCCACACATACACACTAAGAATGAGAGAGAAAATATACTTAAAAACATGTCTGCGTTTGCCAGTTTACACAGTAAATACTTAACCTATTTCGATCGAAAATAAAATGAAAAGAAATTAAATAGGAATCAAATCATTGGCAAAATGGTATGGTAACCGACGCTGTTCAGCCGGTAGTCTAATTTCAGTAAAAAAAATTATAATACATATTATTATCAACGCGCACATCATTTCATAGCATCGTTTCCGACTCAGCTGTTTCTGAATTACAGATCAAACACCATTTTAAGTAGTACCTATTTATGATAGATAGGTAAAATTTATTTAAACACTGATATACGAGTCTAACTTTTAGTTCATACTTTAATGGTCCGACAAATCTGATTGATATTACGATAATAAAAAAAAAATGATATGCGACATAATTCACAAACGATTTTGGCGTATTTAAAAATAAATATTTGCGAATTACTATTTGTACTTTACCTTTTCACTTCCTTATTCACTGTTTAAGCATTACTTGTGAGGTTCACTCACCTACACTTTATTAGGCACTTAATTTTATTCCACAAGAAAAAACTAAAGATCGCGGCCAACCTCTGGTTCACTGACGTTTCAGTATAATTACATCTTTTCAAAATAGTCTCAATTTATATCAATACAACACTGCATCCCATGTAACACTGATAAAAGCACTTTTCATAGAACTCGGAATTAGAGAACACGGACATTTTCGAAACGTGATCACATCGACGACGTATGAACAACTGAATAAAGAAAAAGTGATAAAAAGGGAAAGCCGCCAATTTGAGTCCTTTATTATAAGCCGCTGCATAGTGTGCGGCATGTCAAAGGCGCACAGAAAGGTACCTATAGTTCCGCAATTAAATCTGAGAAGTAGCGGGATAGGGTTGCCATCTTCTCTTATTAGATCGGAAATTTTGTCCTTAAAGCCGGACTAAGTCAAATCTCTCGCGAAGCCGTAAAACAATATTACCGTAGTAGACAGTAATATTAGTTCACGGCTTCGCGAGGGTTACTGCCTAGTTATTCAGAGGGTGCGTTAAGCAAAAATCACTAACTTTCAATTGATTTTGTAGTAAGACGTAACATACAAATAAGCGGTAATTAAAGATAAGATAACTACATCATAATTTTAACGCTTTTATCACAGCCAAAACGTGAATTCATAAAATAAGGCTTGATCGTAACATCAAAACTGCACAACCTATTTTGAAAAAGGTTTTTTTTATAAAGTAATTTCGGAGACTATACGATGCAAACAAACTAACGATTTGTATTCAAATTTCGCAAATGCCCGTGCAACACTGCGTCTTTTTGGGTATTTGGGTATTTGACGTTTTTCGAATTTGTGTGTATTCATAGTTTATTTGATATAGCTTCGGCACAGGTATACCAAAAACCTATGAAAACTATACCGCCGGACATGTGACATTAACATTTAGCTGCACACAATCTAAAAAGTCAAACATGTCCCGCTAAAGACGGATAGATGACAACCCTAGACAGGCGGCAATGTTAAAGTTTGAGCCTAAACTTCTAGTTGCCTAGTACCGAGGTGATCAACATTTTATTGTACAAATTAAAAAAATCGTCGCAGGACATTGTTGCAACTAATTTTTTTACATACGTACGTAAGTACATAATACGTTACGTATTATGAACGTTACGTATTAGGAATTGTTAATTGACAAAGATTTTGTAAATTTTTATTGTTGTTGATAAGATAGTACATGGTTGTATTTTTAGTGTTTACAAACTTAAACGTTGTTAATGTTTGGTAAAGACTAGTTTAAGTGAGAAATGTGATATACTTTCACGCTGCACCTGCAAACGAGCATGCTTGGCTCAGTCTGTAGAGAGGAAGTAGCATCGACTATCATAAGACATCGTTAAATAAATAAATTAATGTATTTCGTGGGCCGTAGTAATCTGCATACAATCGACATACCTGTTTAAAATTTTAATTCATTTTATACACCTTTTCTATTTTGAACTATTTTTCAAATAAATGACCATTTGTTTGTTAGCTGTGTCGGTCGTTTTAGGGCTTTTTCTATTTAAGGAAATAGGTAAACAGTACATAATAAAACGTCTCATTCATTTTCATTTCTTACAGCATTAAAATAGTGAATCCTATACTCTGATTCTAAAATTCAGTTGAATAGCCCACAGTAATAAAATAGATAATAAATTAAAATCCGTACCAAATGTTTACTACTACCGTATCTAGCGTCAAGTAGTCACTCGCGCGCGACATCACACAAACACGAACGATAATGTTTCGTTTCTTTCTCTCTCTCTCTTTCCCTCCCTCTCTATCTCTATCTTACGTCATTGTACACTCGGGGGAATAAGTGAATTTGTTTTAGGCTCGATTTTACCGATTATGTATTGATTTGTCTTACGTATTTAAATACCTAAACAATAAAAAATATTTTTAAGAGTTAAGCTAATGAAGTTATTTCTTAGCACCGGATACAACCCTTCCTGCGCGAGTCCAACTCTCACGTGGCCGGTGTTTTTTTTATAATTAGTTGTTAGCAGTTTGATAAAACTAGGACTTTTGACTAGTGAAATATAAAAAAACTTCAGTTATTGAGAATATTCAGTTGAGATTTTGTACTTTTCTCAATTCAGAAAGCGGCTCTTTGTCGACATTTTTTCTTGTCAGACGCTTTTAAGATACCTAAGTGTAGTGCATATCATTAACTCTAAGGTAGCAATCCACTTTACTTGACACAATTTACATGTAGTAAGAGTAAGTGGTTGAAACCATAATCGGGAATGATCATATTCCCGATTAAGGTTCATATTCCATTTTAAGTCTGATCTTTTTATTGTAAAAATATTAGAAAAGAAATAAATTGACCATAAACAACAATTGAAATATGTACACGAATATTGATCAATGTTTCAATTTATTCCCCGACTGTATCTGCGCTGACGTCATATTAGGTTTACTTTCGTAACAGAAGATTGTAGGTACGAGTACCAGGTTATCATGATTTAAAGACACGATGTGTAAAAATTCTTTTTCAAAGATGAAACAGCTACAGATAGACAAAGTTACCTGGAAGAGACTCAGTGATATACGTCGCCTACTTTCATAATATTGTAATTATTTTCATAAAAATGAAACTACCTAATTATGAAAAAAAAATTGTTCGTGTAATAACGAATATTCTACTTATCTAGAGGTCGCGATATTTCTTCTTCCTCTGCTTCTCTATTTGTTTAGATTAGATGAAATTGATTTTATGAGTACATTATTGAGTGACGTGTCGTAGCATTAATTATAAAGATTATTATTTTGGATGGGCCGTCTACAGTTCGTAAAGAAATATTGTACGAGCATTTCAGGCGAAAGTATTTAATGCAGTGCAGTGACCATAGTGTACTGTTTATTGTTTGTTTCCGTCCCTGATATGTGCGTAGCACGAGCATAGTAATATGGCAAGGTATATTGGAAAGGGAGCTCTAATTTGAATAAAAACGAATTTTGGAAAAAAAATTAAAATAATGTTTTCGTGTAATATTTTGCATGTTCGAATATTTGCGTATGTACACATAACTAGATAAATTATTTCGCTGTACTGTGACGTAGACACTAAATATCAGTAGATATAACCAGTCTGGCAAAATAATAGTCTTTGATTTAGAAGTCAATGAACTGAAACAGCTGATCATAATGTCGGTGTGCTTCGAAAAATGGTATCGAAAATTTTGCTAAACTTCGATATTGTTTTTTTCAATAAATACAATGGCTACGATATAAAGGACAGCGTCCATTATCTCAGTTTTATGTATACTCAATGCCATTTTCGGGGGTAACGGGTTTTTTTGATTAATTGAGCTACTTTGCTCGACGTAAGCCTCGTACGTCGGTCATTAATTATATGTCCTGCCTTAGAAAAAGCTCGTTCACAGGGCACTGATGTAACAATTATATTAAAATATTTTACAAATATGGAATACAAATACGGATATATCGATTTGTGCCCACGCCACCACTCAAGAGGACAACTTTCCCTGGATATGACGAACTGTTTTTGGTACATCTCCACTTCTTCTGTTACTTTAGTAAAAGTGGAGCGAGGTTGTTGAGATGTTGATATTTTTTGCTCTATTATATTCCATAGAGAAAGTGCAGGAGTACTGCTTTCTGGATGGTGTTGAGGTTCATCTTCGCTAATAATACTACAAATCTCATCTATAATGTACGTTTTAGTAGATTGCAATGTTTCATTGTCTAACGCGAAATGTTTAAATCTAGGGTCTAGAAACGTACACACAGTAATATGTAAGTTCCTAGTTATATTTGCAAATCTGTGTTTTATTCCTAAATTTATTGTCTTGGCTAATTTTTGGACGGGTGTATAATATGTAATATTTGTAGCCATTTGTTCGTAAATATTAAGTAAACCCTGCGTAATAACAATTGCTTTACTAGCAGTCAAATAATTTTCTGCACTCATAATTAACGTAGCTTCATAAAGAGGCTTTAGAATTTCACAAAATTGTTCTAAGCATTTCCACTCTTGGAGTGGTATTATAGGCAAATCTACATTTAAATTAGGCACTGTTGCCCTGATGGCTTCCTGTAAATGTATGAAGCGCTGCAACATTAAAAATGTTGAGTTCCAACGTGTTGGCACTGACATAATTAATGTCAATGCACTTCCTTCAGCTACACCCTGGGAGTTAATCTGATACTTTAACAGCTTCTCTTTTGCTAGAGAGCTACGCTTAAAATGGTTTACTGTTTTTTTTATTTTAGTTATAGTGCTTTCCACTTCGGGAAGTGCAAGGGCATTTTGCGCTACCAAATTTAGCGTGTGGGCGTAACATCCGTAATGGGGAAATCGTAACAAATTTGCAGCACTTTGCATGTTGGATGCGTTGTCGGTGACAAAAAAAATAATTTTACCCACCAGATTCCACTCCTGTACCGCCAAACTAATTGCTTGCGCAATATTTTCACCCGTGTGAGTTCCTTCTAGTAGACTGCACTGTAAAAGCATAGATTTAAATTCTAAGCTGGTTTTATTTATAAAATGGCCAGTGATAGCTATGTACGGCTGCATCGTCCGAGATGTCCAACAGTCTACCGTTATACACATGCTGGTACATTCTTTATTTACAACCGATTTAATTGTTGCTAAACGGTCTTCGTAGTCACGCAACAACAGGGTCGTCGACAGGGTTTTACGATCGGGTAACTTATAATTGGGGTTTAACCCATAAACAAATGATTTAAAGCCCTCATCATCAACGATACTAAAAGGCTGGCAATCAATGGCTATCATATTTAATAATAATTTATCCAGGTTGGTCTTCTCAGTGGTTGATAGGGGTCTAGATAAATACGATGCCATGATCCGTTGCTTTTTTGGCGGATTTTGTGCTGAGGGACCTGGACGAGACGACGATAATAAACCCCCATCATTACACGGACGAGACTCGATCCCACGACTATTACCACCAGCAATACCATCACCATCAGCAATACCATCACCACCAGCAATACCATCACCACCACCACCGATTCCACCACCACCAGCACAACCAGGATCCACACCAGCAAGAGCACCGGAGTCAGCAATTCTAGTACCTAAGTACAAAAAATAAAGTTTAACAGAAGAAATAAATATGAAAAATGTATATTTTTAAATAGGTACCTATTGGAAGCAAATTCGAATGATTTATTATTTAACTTACCGTTCTCATTTTCTTTCCTGCAAATTTCTTCATAAACTATTAAATGCTTTTGTTTCAAATGGTTTTTTAAATTAGAAATAGTAGTTTTAAACGACAGAGTCTTTTTACAATAGGAACATTCCGCCTTTTTGGCAAGTTCGTCCACCACAGAAAAATAATTCCACATTTGTCCTTTTCGTGGCATTATAAAATATTTACACAACAACTAAGTATCTAACAAATTTTTTACACGAAATATAATACACACACTAAACTAAAACGAACTTTTACGAGTATTTGCAATTATAAATCAATAAACGCATAACACACAAACTACGTCAAGCGAGTAATCTGCACTGACCGTTTTTTATTCAAAAACCTAAAAAATAATCGTAAACGATCAAAAATCAAAATATATTAGTTGCACTTTTTTCAATACTGGAATTTTATGAATATAGTTCTTATGTGGTCACCTTAGAGCATAATTTCTAACGAGTATTATATGACGAAAAATAATCGTTATTTATTCATTCCTGGACATTAATTTGAATATAGATCTTAATAAGTGGTCTTAAAGCATAATTTGGCAGGTGACAAAAATATTCAATCACAGCAAAGTGAAGTTGGCCTTACGTTTCGTTTCGCGCAGTGTGCAAACGCTCGATTGTGTTCATAATTTCAAAATAATCGTTTGATTTAAATAACGCTTGCCAGCAGTAATAAATAATAGGCTATATGATTATTTATAAATATTAGATTATTTTATCAGCGATCTAATATAACGAACGAAAAAGCGAAAGCAATAATTAAGCACATCTTCATTAAAAGTAACATTTCAAAATAAAATGCATTGTTTAAAAAATACTATAAGGTGTGGTCCAATTATCAATTTAAACCGAAATGGGGCCGTAAAAAAATATAACCAATACTTTAATTGTTATGTAAAGTCTAGAACTTTATCAAGTGGAAATGAAATACCAGTAACAACAATAGACAATAAAGATAATTTAGAATCGGCACAGCTAAAAGGGGGATTTGCCAAAGCATTCGAGAAACAATCTAATTTAACCGAATCTACTGAACAACCTCATACATTTGCTTCTCTGCTCCGTAATTCAAAACTTGTGGATGTAAGCTACTTACATTATAATTTTATATCTGCCTGTTAATTATATATGTGCTACTTCAAAAGTTATTATAGAGAAACAATTTTGTTTTATAGCTCGGGGATCCTGTTGGTAAAACAGTTATTGGACAGATATTCCATGTTGTTGAAGATGACCTTTACATCGATTTTGGATGGAAATTCCATTGTGTTTGCACCCGTCCAACAAATAGAGGTAATGAATATGTCAGGGGTGCAAGAGTTCGTATTCAAATTAATGACTTAGAACTTTCATCACGATTCCTCGGTTCAAGTACAGACCTTACCCTTTTGGAGGCAGATTGCAAGTTACTAGGTATTATTTCATCACCTATCCATAGACCGAATGTCAATGAAAAGTAAGTAATAATTAGAATTAATTGTAGTTATAGTTTAATAAAAAACTAAAAAATTTTAAATGTTTTTTTTTTACTCAAATTATATTGAATAGTCTTAAGAAATTTATAACGTGGACATAATAAAGTAACATTTTAATACTAAAACTGATTTCTAGAAAGTCACAAAACAGAAAAATCTCATGTGAAATGGACTAGATAGCTAGATAGCTTGTAGCAGATGGACTGTAGGCTGGACTATCAAAAGCGGGCAGGTAGCAGAGGTCGCAAAGTTCGGAGAAACTCTGAGAACGTTCGAAGGCAGAACATGCTTTATTGCGAAAAATCAATTACTTAAGTACAATTTGGTTGCTCGCACTTATCTCATATATAAATCAGTTATCTTATAAGATTTCTTAGAGTGGGGGTACGCTACCCCGCACCGCGCGGGGAGGGGAAGGTTTCGCTGTTTTCCCGCTGGTGGCGCTGTTGTCACGGCGTGGCTCGATGTCCTTTACAATATTATTAGATTAATATATTAATTATCAATATACTAAATATATTAATATAGGAATAAAATATTAATTCCTTTTTTATGTATGTTATAATTTAATTTTTTGTTCAAAGGTAACTTTGATATCTCATTGAATTCTTCACATTTTTGGTTATTTTGTAATTTAAAACAAAATAAAATATTCAATTATGAATGCCTTTCTGCCTTTTAAAAATTGTTGCCAGCAACTATGGATAATTATCAAATATTTTTCGGTTAATTATCCAAAAAAAATATTATCTTGATAATTACTTGTGCTAATGCTGAGCCAATTTACATCATTTGGTTCCTTAACATCCATGAGCCATGTATACTCACCAGTTTTCCTTTTAACATCATCTTCTTGGTAAGAACATACCATTAAAATATCTATTGTATGCGTCTGAAATATTTATAATATAATTTTGATAATGTAGTATAATGTTGATAGTTTATGAAATTAGCGGAGAAGTATTCATTTTCCTTTGTCGGATTTCTGAACCGATTCTGAGACCCGAACAACGCTCTCCTTTCATAAAAAGTGTACAGCAGATTGATTCCGTAAAATCCGAAGTTGAGTTCACTCGTGTGTGGACAGGTGTGGATAAAGCCGAACACACTCGTATCTACGAGTCGAAATTCCTGCCCTGCGATTCTGTAAAAATCTAAACCAGAAGTCGAATTCACTCAGGTGTCCAAATTCACTTCCAAAAGCGGCATCCGCCCAACTTTGAACTGGTAATAACGTTCGTGGCATAAGTGAAGTAACTTTCGAAATGTCAAGAATAGAATTTTTACAGAATCCCAGGGCTGCAGAGCGATTCTGTAAAAATCCGAACCCGAATTCGAATTCACTCAGTGTCCGAATTCACGTAATTTCGTGAAGAAACTATTGATTCCATTTTTTGTATAAAATTGATTAATTATACGTGTCTTAGATATTCTATGCCTATGTCATTACGAAACTCACTTCACTTATGCCACGAAACATTATTACCAATCCAAGATTGAGCGGATGCCGCTTTTTGAAGTGAATTCGGGCACCTAAGTGAATTCGAATTTGGGTTTGGATTTTATTAGAGTCGCGGGGCTAGGCAGATAGTTGTGTATTTTTTAAATTTTATTTAACGTCTGAATGTCCATCCCATCATAGTGTAATGTGTGTGTGAATAGATATTTTTGGGAAGTTTTTTTACACTGTATCTGAGGATTTTGGCGCCCCTGGAACTGGAACTTGTCTTAGATGCGGCTCTGCCTAGAGTCGGACGCGAATTTACATTCTAGGCCGTCCTATGTAGGCCATGAAGTACAGTCACCCCTTTTTTCTTAGTTCACATAATTTCGGCACTACTTATAAATTTACTTTCTTTACAATATTTATTGAAATAGATAGCCAAAATTTTGTTGTGTTTATGTGATCCTTATATAATGTCTAACATCTGTTATATGTTAGTGTTATATATAGCCCACAACAGGATTTCATTGTATTTAACACAATATAAGTCATTAATAACAATCGTTATTCCAAGAAATTACTTCGAAGGTATATTTTTTATTATCGTTCTTAGGTCGATATTGTATTCGTTTAAGAGTTTATCTTGGATAAATAAGTGAAGACACACTTAAGTACTAGTACCCGGTATTTCATAGCTCAGCTTTTGGCACACTATTATTGGATGACCTGGACTGAGGCCTACTGTGGCCTTAGTGCCACAATGCCTTAAGACATAGGGGAAATGAGGCAAGATGAAAGGGCTAACTTTGCGTAGTAATAAATATAATAATAAACATATAATTTAACTTTTCCATATCTGTTAGTGAATCTAACCCTTTTTCCCTGTCAGATTATCGTCCCATATCCATTCTCCCATTCACAACCAACTTAGCGTATTCCTAGTTAAAAACAACCTCATGAATCCCTACCAATCCGGTTTCCGACCAGGTCACAGCACTACTACTGATGATATTACTACCCTTATCAACATAACGGATGATATTAGGCTAGGAATGGAGACTGGAACCATCACGATCTTATGTCTACTAGACTTTAGCAACGCGTTCAACACTGTTCATTTTGACGTTTTGCTTAAAAAATTACGCTCTATTAACATATCTCCATCAGCAGTTGATTGGTTTCAAAGTTACCTGTCTGGTCGCCGGCGGCGCGTCCGCGTTGAAGATTCTTTCACTTGTTGATGTGACTTAACTGCCGGGGTGCCGCAGGGTGGCGTTTTATCTCCTCTTCTTTATGCTGTTTATATTAACACTATTTTCTGTCAGTTTCTTTCTTCCTACCATCTTTATGAAGACGATATGCAAATATATACGAGAACCCCCGCTGAGGATATTAGTTCAACCATTGAAAGTTAATAAATATTTAATAATATTTATTATATCTCGAGCTACTTCGTGCTTCGGAAGGTACGTTAAACCGTTGGTCCCGGCTGCATTTGCAGTCGTTAATACCCTCCAATCCGCATTGGACCACCGTAGATCGTAGGTCATGGCCCATGCTCCTTAACCATCCATAAGGAAGGCCTAAGCCCCTGCAGTGGGGACGTAAAAGGCTATCTTAACCATACAGAAATGGAACTGAACAAGCTTGAGTGCCTTCAAAATTTTTGCATAAGATTTATATTTGGACTACGCAAATATGATCACGTTTCCGAATTTCGTGAGAAACTCGAATGGCTGCCAATTGAATTTCGCCGGAATGCACATATTTTAAATATGTTATTTAATATACTTTTTAATCCCACTACCCCTTCTTATCTCAAAGATCGTTTCAAATTCGTCAAAGAATGCCATCCCCGCTTCTTAAGATCATCAGAAAACCTGCGGCTGGAAATGCTAATGCATTCCGCTAAGTACATATTACGATATATCTTTTACCGTCCACGGTGTACGCCTATGGAATGCGCTACCTTTGTCGATTAGAAAAGCTTATCAATACCTGTCCATGAAAGTATGTATATAGGTATTATATATGATTATATATGTATTATATTTTATATGATAATATTTATTATATTATAATAAATGTAGGTATATTATTATAATTAAATTATAATTCAGTATATAACAACTGTCAATTATGTATATTTATAAATTGTTTATATCCATCATCCACTAGCCCATCATTAGGTATTTTATATTTAACTCCATCCCAAGGTTGCCTGGAAGAGATCACTTTTAGTGGTAAGGCCGCCAATTGTACGTCTTCTGTTTTCATCATATAAGGTATTTTGTCTTTGTACAATAAAGAATATTCTATCTTCTATTAATATACAATATAATAATTTATATTGTTTTTGAAAGGGAATTGAATAATAAAATCAAATTTCTAATTAACAATAACCATATTCTAGTCAAAATAAATTATAAACCGTAAAGTAAAACCTTGAGAAATTCCATTTTGTCCTAATCTAGAGGGCAAAATGGAAAGGTAACAGGAAATTTGGAATGTGTAACACAAATTTTGAGATTGCAATTTTGCAATTAATTTTTAAAATACAATATTTTTCTAGCTTATGTACTTATTTACAATTCGGCAGACATCGTGAGCAGTCTTCTATAGCTGATTTTTCATATTTTTCTTCAGGAAACTAAGAAATAATTATTTATTTACCTTACTCGGTTATTTTCAGTTCTTCCCTTTCTTAATTATGTCATTTTGTTTTTACGGTAGTATTTTGTTCACTGTCGTAACTTTGTTTTTTACTCCTTCTATTTTACCATCAACTCTAAATTTCTATCTTGTTTATGTTAACATATCTATAATTTCACGCATATTTTGCTTTCATTATTGTATCAATCTGTACACTCGATTTGTAGTACATATTTATTCTCAAAGCAAAATAGTATTTTTTTCTTACTTCTCTTAGTAACCAAGACAGAGAAATCTAATGATTTTGTAGTATTTTCCAATCAAATAAACACAGTTTGTACATTTTATGGCTGGTGCGAATCGGGCTAAATATCGTTCGTAAATTACATTTAGCATATAATTACATTGATAGATCACATATTTTGTCTATTATAAAAAATTTTCATTTTGCCTACTTCTTCCATCTTAACCACTCCTTCCATCTTGCCCTCTCTACCCCTATCCAAATTACTACATTATATGTATTCAACTTTAGGTACTTACCAGTATAAGAATTGCTATTAGAGTTCTACAAATATTTAGTTTTCGTTTTTTTAGGTCTAACAAGTATGTTAGAAAATTTTATTTGACTAAAGATAAATATTATCTTTCCAATAATTATAAGAGACAAATAGCTATTTCGCTATCATTTTTTTTTTCTATAACAGCCAAAAATTTGGCTAACCAGAGTTCTCCTATTGAGCACTCTTCTATTGACATGACTGTCAGTAATAATCCTACTGACATTGCGACAAATTCGTCTTTAAATTAGATACTAAGACAACAGAGGATTCCTCTTGCTTGCTATTGAATAGTCAAAGTAATAATGAAACCAAGAGTTTATCAGTCATCAACCTAGTGCACCAAAATGTTCAAGGAATGTGGAGTAAAGAGTTAGAAGTAGAATTATTCATGAACTGTAACAATATTGATATTTTCTGTATTACAGAACATTGGTTAACAAGTTATAATTGCATTTTTAATTTCAATAATCACCTGGTTGGTAGCGCGTTCATTAGGAAAAACGCAATGCGTGGTGGCGCACTAATTTTATTAAATAAAAAGTTTAAATTTAAAGAACGTAGAGATATAGTGAGCCTATCGGTTGAGGAAATAATAGAGATTGTATAGAGCTGGACCAGCTGATTGTACTGAGCGTATATAGACCTCCTTCAAGTTTAGTTTCTCATTATGATCTTTTTGAAACAGTTATGGATGAAGCATTAAAAAAGGTATAAAGCAAAGGCAAACGATTAGTGATTGGGGGTGATTTTAACGTTGATTTATTAGGAAACTCCAATTCATGTACAAGACTTGTAAATCTATTTAAGTCCTATAATCTTGCGCACATGTTTAAGGAGCCTACTAGAGTAACTGTTACTTCGTCCACATGTATTGACAACATTTTTACAGATCTGGTACCACTTTCAAAACAGATAATTAAACAACTACCGTCAGCTCATTTTGGACAACTAGTTAGCTTTCCGCATAAATGTACGTTTGTGGCTAGAAGAGACATTACAGTTGTGTCAAAAAGTATAAGTCGCTTGGAACGTTTTAAAAATCAATTAGATAGAAAATTGTATCATTTGAAACATAATAGTAATCCCAATGATTCGTACAAAGATTTCTTTGATGTTTATTGTACAGAATTCAATAAGATTTTTGTCCCAAAAAAAATTGTATTAGTAATCCTATAACTTTTAGTGTGTGGGCTACACCAGGAATCTACAAAAGCAGAAAAAGGCTCTATGAATTATATGATGAATGTAATTATAACACAAGTGAGGACTTCAAAGAATATGTACGAAATTACTCTAAATTATTTAAAAAAGTGTTTCGTTTAGCCAAATGTAATTATTTAAATGCAAAAATTGAAAATAGTAAAGACAAAGTTAAAATGACGTGGAATATCATAAATAGTGAAACTGGAAGAGAAAAATCCCGGAAAATAAATTTTAATTTAAACATTGATAATAAAAAAGTAACATCAGATCTTGAAGTTTTTGTAACACAGTATTTGAAAATTTATTTACTGAAATTCCAGTCTTAATTACACAATCTTTGAATTCCTCTTCCACTGTTGCTGAATCTATTTTAAAGGCAAGTTCAAATAATTCTAATAGCCAATTTAAGTTTCAACACATTGATTTTAAAGATATAATAAAATCTTTTAATCAGCTAAAGAAAACGAAAACTGCTGATTTGGTAATAGAGGGTTGATATCAATGGCAAAAGATCCCCTGGATCGAAAATTAAGATGGGCGTTCCGCAGAGCTCAATACTTGGTCCTTTCTTGTTTTTGATTTACATAAATGACTTGCCTTATTTCGTAAGGGATGATCACGAAATAGTTTTGTTTGCGGATGACACTTCACTCTTGTTTAAAATTAAAAGAGGGTTACCTCTTAATGACGATGTGAACAATTCTATCGCCAAAGTAGTACATTGGTTTAATGTAAATAATCTTCTCCTTAATGAAGGAAAAACAAAATGCTTAAAATTTGTACTACCTAATGTTAAAAAAGTAGATATAAATGTTAATATAAAAGATAAGAACATGGGCCTTGTGGATACCACAGTATTTTTAGGAATAACATTAGATTCTAAACTACAGTGGGGCCCACATATTGATAGATTGTCGAGTAGACTTAGCTCTGCAGCATATGCCGTTATGAAAATACGTAGGTTAACTGACATAGATACTGCCAGATTAGTATACTTCAGTTACTTTCATAGTGTAATGTCGTACGGACTCCTATTGTGGGGAAATGCTGCCGACATACAAACAATTTTTGTGCTTCAGAAAAGAGCAATTAGATCAATTTATAATCTTAGGATTAGGGACTCTTTAAGGGAGAAATTTAAGGAAATAGACATTATGACTGTTGCTTCTCAATACATATACGAGAACTTAATGTACGTTCGTAAAAATATTAGTTTGTTTTCTATAAAAAGTGATGCACACAATTTTAATACAAGAAATAAAAATAAATTAACGGTGCCTGTCACTAGACTGCAAAAAGTTAATAACTCATTTTAGGGTCTTTGTGTGCGCTTCTACAATAGGTCCCAAGCAAAATACAACAATTAGATATCATGCAGTTTAAATCTACTATTAAAAAATACTTATTAAAAAGCTTATTATAAGGTATCCGATTATATAACAGATAAGAACGCTTGGACTTCAGATGATCCAGCAACTGGATAGGTGATTACTTCTAAAATCATTATCTTGTTTCCATTATTATTAAATAATTATGTTATCATTATAAGACCATCGTTTTTTTTTTCTATCTCTGTTTATAATTTATTGATCTGGTAATGACATGGTTTTTGTAAATGTCATTACTCTTATTAGAGCTGGTGAGTTTCTTGCTCGTTCTTCTTATCAGCCAAAAGACGTCCTGAACGAGTGGTAGGGAAAAAATGTCGGACGATTCAAAAGTACTTTTAAGAAGTCTATTTGAATAAAGATTATTTTGACTTTGACTTTGAGGTGCGTAAATGAAACGGACAAAATAATTGACATAATAATTATATTTGGACAACATAGATAACAGTAGTAACATTATATTCATTATATTTTGTTTAAAAATCTATTTATTGTCTCATTACACTTTTGAGAAGATAACCTGATAACACAGAATTTGTTATAATTCAATTGTAGGGTTTAGAGTTTTTTGTATATTTTATCGTACAGTAGATATTAAATGGAATGTCTGAACATAATCGAGCGCTTTTTCATTATAACCACTCTACATATAATGATAAGCATGACAGGCAAAGCATTTTCTAACTAAAAAATAAGATAATTGCACACTAATTGAGATGAATAATTTATTATTGTTAAATTTTAAATTCCAAATGCATTTTCTTTTAGAAATTTTGTATATTTTTTATATATCTACCCTTAAACAAATTATTAGAGATCTAACATTATTTTATTAATGAGATTAGCTATTAAACTATAATCGGTTGAGATTCTACTGTACTTTGTCTCCATTTCGTGAAACAATCTCTTGAATGCTTGGGTCTTTGACCGCATCATTGGCATCAGGTTTGACTTCGAGGATATCGTCTAAAGATTCAGTTGCCTCTGCTATGGCTATTTCTTTTGGTTTATCCAAAGGATGCGATCGTTCCCATTCATTAAGGTACTGCACTACAGCTGTGTGGCCAAATGTTTCTGCCTCGTTAAGTGGGCGGCTGCCCCAGCGATCGCGTGGGTCATGCGGTACGCCACATTGAGCTAAAAGGAAATCTACACACGAGAGATGCCCTTCTGCCGCGGCAAGATGCAACGCAGTACGACCATCGTAATCTGATAACGTCATATCCATGCCAGAAAGATGGTGTCTGCGAACAAAAGAAAATTACAAATTAGAACAACCGCTAATGTTTTCAAAATAATTGATATAGAAATTACAGCTTCAATAACTATTTCTAACTACTTATGATAAGCGTAAATCAATTATGGTTTTACGTTTCGTATTGAATGTGCAAGTTTAGTGATGGTTGCTGTTGGATTTTCTGGTTTTAAGACAATCAACTAGGTAACAAATATGGATATGATATACAACATAAATTTAAAGTCTACAGTGCTTTAGCTATTCAATTAAGCACTTGAACAATTTGTTTACTTGTACGACGAAACTTATTTTGAAGATTCCACTGGTACAGGAAGGAGAGATGGATCTGAAGAAGTGCTGGTAAAAATACTAAAGTTAATTAAACCTTTTAGTTCATTATGTGAAGAATACCTACGTTGGTATTTAATATGAATCATGCATACCTTCTTAAAGCACTGAGGTCACCGCTAGCTGAAGAAAACAATAAATTCACAATACTGAGGCCGGTAGATTCAAATTTATAACGTCGTGGGTCCTTCTTATGGCTTGCGTAACGGATATTATCATATTTGTGGAAATTGAAACGCTCGATCAAAGACTGCAACATATCAAAAATACAATGTGGGTATTAAAAAAATCATATAGATTCGTTTCATTAGTATATTTTAGTGACCCTACAAATGAATGATAAAAAAAAACGAAAATTTATGTAGCTAAAAATGACTTGCATACGACTTGCACTGAAAAAGTAACATAATATATTTTCTATTACCTACTTATTAGCATACCTTCAAGTGTCATGTTACAGCTTAAAAGATGTAACAGACATACAAATAGACGAAAAAGGCATAATAATAGTCACCCCTGAAACATTTTGGGTGCCATACCTTCACTAAAAGTGTAGCTTTCGAGACAATGATTATTTACATCTATACAAGTATGTGTCATAAATTAAATATACCTCACAAAATTGAAGACCTCTGCAGCTGTTTCCGAGCGGATCGAGTGGAGGAGACCACGTACATATTCCCATAACGTTTGGCACAACTATGAGCATTGCACCCGACACTCCTGATTTTGCAGGCAGCCCAACTTTGAAAGCAAATTGTCCAGAGTAATCGTACATTCCGCAGCTGTGCATCAGAGATAGCACGTTGCGTACAGAATCTGGTCCAAGAACCTTTTCGTCTGTTATGGGGCAAATTCCTCCGTTTGCTAATGTAGCTGCCATTATAGACATAATATCACAGTTGGCTTCCATAGAACAACACTGAAATAAAATGGTAAATTTTATATTTAATGAATGAGGGAAAGATGACATTACATTATATGACATACCTATACAATTACGACGACAAAGTCTAATTTTATTTCTAGTTATTTGAAATAATCGATATTGACGTCATGATCATGAAGTAGATACCTGGAAATAGAAATCCATGCATTCTCGAAGATTTGTTTTCTCTGGATAACATTTGTGTTCACGCATGTAGAAACCTAAAGCATAATTTCTGTCCGCTGCTTCTCTTTCAGATAAAAATACGGCATTATTGAAACCTAATACTTCATTTCCAGCTAACCGACTGAAGAATGACATAACGTAGTCGAATTTTTCGGCAAGAGTCATTTCAGGTTTGTCCAAGGTTTTCAGTAATGAGCAAACTAAAATCGCTCCTGCGTTGATCATGGGGTTGTGTGGTTTCACTGTTGGTGGAAAATTAAAAGTTATTGATTACGTTGATCAAAAGTTATTATATAATGGAAATGCAAATGCAGATCGCTTTTCGTAAATCAAATTTGTATGAATCAAAATTTTGAATGGGATGATTAGGTGTAGGTATTATTTATTTATTGTTACTAACTATTATAGTCCAAGACGAGTTCATTGAAGTTTCTTCCGCTGGGCTCGGTGCCAACATATTTATGAACTACATCTGGACCAAGAGTATCTAGTGCCATCGCGTAAGTCAGGGGTTTGCTGCACGACTGTAATGTGAATGGAACCGTCACATCACCTATAAACGAAACAAAACATCAGAAGAGTTATATCGATTATATTCAACTACTTTACGAAATGTAAACAAATCCACTACCCTTGTTACTTACCAATAGAGAATCTTTGGCCGTCTATCGTGCAAACACTTACTCCCCAACTTTCAGAGCTAGCTCTTGCTAATTGCGGTATGTAGCTAGCAACTTTTCCATCAGTATTACTTTTTGCTGCCCAGTACATTTCTTCTATATCCTTAATGAAATCTTGGAAATCAGGAATAACAAATTGGCTTCGGAACGCTCTAGTTATCAGAACTATGTTAGGCGCGATAACTTCTTTAAAAGTTTTTCTATCGAGTTTTAATGTCTCTGGCGATCCTCCTTCAAAGTTTTGTTCCTTATGTACTTTATATAAATTGTGCATTACTTCTTTCACTCTGGCGTCGTTTTTTCTTATACCCGTTGTTCTCAAGGCCTGAAAATTAAATTAATTCGTTATATTGTTAAGTTACATTATTATCAGTGGTCGGAATTAGGTAGAGTTATTCATGTACTTACACTGATTTCATACAGCGAAAGAATAAAGTGGATATGCCTCAAATCCCGAGATTAATTTTAAAGAGCAGAAAAAATCAAGTGATTTTTTTAAATAAAAAGTTCTTTACTTTTGCACAATTTAAACTACTGCACGCACGACGTTACCAAACTTACATCAATGACATCGGATGTCCAAAGTTGCAATAATTTCTATTGTAAAATAATGTAAACTAATAAAAAATTTATGTTAATTATCTTTATTTGTCTATCCTGATGTTGTTATTATTATTTAGTTGTAAGATTGTTGGCCACACGGGATTATCCATTAGATATCCCGGGAAGGTCCACATTAATATCAACATTTCGATGCAAGTACATAAATAACTCTACCTAATTCCGACCTCTGATTTTATTATACACACGGCTGCAGTTAGGTGACCACAGTATATCAAATTTGTAAAATCAAGTGGAGAAGTTAACAACTGAGTGTATGAACACTTACGCTCACGCTCTCCTAGCAATTTTTTGTTGATCCAGTCGAATAGTAGGTAGAGTAATAGGGAGGTTTGTCCTACCATTATTTAAATATTTACAAATATAGTAAAATTAATCAAACATGATGATATCCGAAAGAGGTCCCTGAACGAGTGGTAAGGAAAACATGTTGGACGATTCAAAATTACTTTTAAGAAGTCTATATGAATAAAGGTTATTTTGACTTTGTAAAAATATAACTCAATTTTTATTAGATATTCACTAATATTGAAGAGGTATAGGTAAAATATTTTGTACTTACCGCCAAAAACTTTCCAACAGGCAATAAACCCGTGTCTTCATTTTTGAACATATCGAATAAAACATCGTCAGCGTTTTTGTGAGACCCTTCTCGGACCCTTTAAATTGAAATTATAAACATTGATTATATTGAGTAATTCGTGAAAGGTGAATGATACAAATCTGGCAAATACATAGGGATAAAATACGGATAGCATGCATACGTAAAAGTTGTTAACGATTAACACAAATATTTTGCGAATATAAATCAGATCTTGAAATAGATATTTGCAAAGCATGTTGTCCTAAAGTGTTAAGTAGTTGATTTACGCGAACATTCTAATATTACATGTGCGACGTAATAGCGGGTGTGTCCACCACGGCGACGACGTAGATTCGTGTTTGTGCGTTAGAGTTTCTTATGATCACCTGACGTTTATTTTTAGATGGTATCACAATGCCAACAATATTGCGATGCTTGGTTTGTAAGATTTGTTCAATAGTTACCTTCTTTTTCGTGGGACGTTATTTGTATTAAAACCTACGATTGTATTTCTTAATGAATTCCCAGAAGCTGATATTTTTACATTTAATTTGTTTCGTATATTGGTTTGAATCCGAGCAGTGTATGAGTTTTTTAGATTAAATAATAAACTCATCACTTATTTATTGATTTTGTAAAAACTCTACAATCTAGTAAAAACTATATGTGATAGAGAGAGAGAGAGAGCTCAGAATAGAGAGCCCGATAAAATCATCTCTTTAATAGTCTTATCTTATAAGCCATATGTTTATGTCATAAACATTTCACTTACTTTTTAATCGCTTTGCTTATCAAATCTGGATCTGAGGTATGTCTATAGTTTGTAAGAATATATTTCGCCAAATTTTGTGTCATTTTTTTTCACTATTAGCACCAGAGCACGTAACGACCATATCAATTGGAAAAACTTTGCATCCTACGTATATAGTCGTGACTAACGTAGGTAACATAGGTACTATGTAGGGCCCACTTCCTGAAATACATACTAAATAACCTAGGTTCATTTACGCAGTGCTATGTAATTGTTTAATAGCTTCCCGATAGCGTCTTCGCTCGCGTGGTCCTATTTTATATAACACTCTGAATACCAATCATTCCGTTGTGAAATTTAAAAGATGTCAACGTACAGACAACGGGAAGCGATTTCGTATAGATTATAGATATGCAACTAGCTCGCTCTAGAAGCTGTAAGAATGAGCGAGCGTATATTAAAGAGAGTCGGATTTTGGGGAAGTGAAAGATTGTGTAGGTGTAATAACAGTGTCCTATGGCAGCAGTTTTTTTTTCCTACAGAAAATCTGTTTTCTGTAGGAAAAAAAAACTATCACCACGACGCGATTTTTTAAGCAAAAAATATTTTTTAACCATGCTGATATGTTTCGATAAATAGTGTGTAGGGCACTTTACCCGTATCTAGGGCAATATCGCCGAGGAGGCCTAAACTGCGAACATTGTTGAAATCTAGGTGACCTCAAAATTTGCAATCAGATTCATACCTACTAATCATTCTGGAGTGGGGAAGGAAAGGGAATATGCCAGAGGCAGATTCCATAGTTTTCAAACTTTTTGTTATTTTTTACCAAAATGCATTAGGCCGGGTGAAGTCAAGGAAAAACAGCAATTTTCGAACTTAAACAGAAGTGAGCCCATTTTTGGTACCTATATTCCCAATCAGTTTTGATTCAAATAGTGTCAAATTTTACCCACTACACTTTATTCACTTTAGAAAAGAAAGATGAATATTTTCTCGGTTTATTTCCGCAAAAGATTTTTGTAACTGCCGTAGTAACTAATACTATTGTTAAAATATAAAAACAACTAGTTTAATACATCAACTTTAGGTCTCGACAAGACAAAGCTTTGTTAGCTATATTTAAATAAATCAAATACGAAAAATAAATTAACTCCATACAAGAACACACAAAAAAGAGTAATATTAGAAAAAAATAAATAAAGCAAAATGGTCACACAATTGTAAGTTTAATAGTTACTATTCCAATTTATTCGATATCGTCGTAACGTAAATAGTCGTAAAGTGGAAACCAATGACACGTCCGAGAGATTTCCAATTGAATGTATCATACAGGAGTCTATTCGTATGGCTGAAAAACTAAATCTATAAATTTCAATAGCGTATATATTACTGTATATATTTGTGATAATCATATCCGATTAACATGGGTGATAATCATGTTTACCGCGTGACAAATTGAACGCAATACTTTTGTCAAAACTAATAAAAAAAAGGATTTAAAATTCTAAAATTAATCTGAAGTTCGTAGGCATCAAGAAACACAGCATGTGTCATGTCTCTCTTGTTACTCTATAAAATTGCAAAAGGTTTTAATATTATACAAAATTTTAAAAGATATTTTATAGACCTTCTTTTCAGCAAACTTTAAATAATAAAAAACTTATGTATACAAACTTCTTTTGATGTGTCATTTAATCTTATCTAATGCCATTGTGCTTATTTAAACTATTGTAACTCAAAAAAAGAGAACATTATTATGTGAAGTACATACGTAAACGAAAATGTTGTTTATTGAAAGCACGTTTGAAATTTTTTTTTTTTTTCTATCACCCAGGTTCAGGATAATTTTGGCTGATAAAACTATTAATTATGAACCGATTTCATTGATTTTATGTCCGTCAAAATTCTAAAACAACTTCTCCTTGCATTCCAAAGTGGCTTGAATTTATTGACCGCCTTTCTAGGTAATGATTTACCAATTTTCTTTAATAGGTTTTGCTATCACAAAAATATTTGATAAAATAGGTCCATAATCAATTCAAGAAAAAACGTTGTAGGAGCTTATAGCTGAATACTTATATAATTTGTCAGGCTTACATAAAACTACTTATCTAAACTACGTATCATGGATGAGACTTCCTTTTTCTAATAAAAAAGACACAAGAAAATATTAAAAATAACATTCGAATTGTCAGCCTTCTTTTTTTCACTCTGTTATTGAAATATTAAAATAATAACGGTCAGTAGCACTCAAACTGTTTAATAATTATTAAGAAGGAAAATAGAAAAGGCTAACTATTTTGTAACATATGATAACATGCAAAAACACCCTTAATTTCTCTTCTACTCACATAACGGGATCAATGTTGTGCACGAACGAGTAATGTCTGCATGAAACGTGATTGTTCAAATGAAAATTTGTTTATTAATTATGTAAAATATGAATAAAAATGTAAATTTTTTATAATAAACGCTATCATAATATAATCATCAGCATATTACCTACGGAGACGTAAAGTGGGACGTTTTCCCAAAACTAAAATCCAAACCAAACCACAAAATAAAACTAAATGTTATTGCATATGTTCAATAAAAAAAAAAAAATACTTTTGCCAGAATTCTCGCAGATTATTCTGAAATTAGGTTCCACGAAAATGGTACGCCCATGGGCACAAGCTCTCCCTATGGTTATAAATTAAAAGGGTTAAAAATATAATTTAGAATATTATTCCAAGTCACGTAAGATATGACTTATATTCTTGGTATATGAACACAGAAGAATAATCTCTGTAGTAGCGAAAAAGTAATAACTGCTTGAAAAATTCGTCAGCCCTGTTAGGTCCTGGGTAGCTCAGTGCAGTCGCTCGGAATGCGGAAGGTTCGATGGGTTCGAGTCCCATCTCAGAATGCCAGAGACAAAGTGGATTTTTTAAGCATATTTCATTAAGAATATGTTATAGAAGAATAAGTGAATATCTACGAATTTCGCAAAAAAATATTGCTTTCTTTAAGTTGTCAACATCTTGTAATCATTTCAGTTGGGATCAGTTAGCCGTATTTGAAAGATGTATAAATGATATATTATGGTAAACGTGCAGCCGTGGTGCGCTTTAGGTTATCATAATATATAAAATTTCTTCGATATATTTTGAAGTCTTGAGGTTTAAAACGAAGTGGAGAAATTTGCTATTGACTGTACTTAGTAGTATCACCATGAGCCCTTTTACATCCTCACTGCAGGGGCTCAGACCTTCCTTATGGATGATTAAGGAAGATGGGCCGTGCTGACCCAATGCGGAATGGAGGGTATTAACGATTGCAAATGTAGCCAGGAATAACGGCTTAACGTGCCTTCCGAAATACTTAGTAGTTCGAGATAATAATTTTTTGGTCACCCATCCCGTGGCGCTTATCCAATACGCCACCGAGACACTAATACCTAGTATATATATCTAACGATAAAATGCTAGATGACGTCATTTAAATAATATTATTTTTAATAAGCTAATTAATTGTACCAGCTTTTGGCGTTTGCTACAAGATTGTGATCGGCAATTAACGTCACCTAGGGAATTTATATGGTTATCCCTATGAATGTACTTGGTTTTGGTTATACAACTACCATCTTTCTACATGTTGTCTATCGTTTTTACGATTGGTAACACTATCCCAATTGAAATAGTTACTAGAGACTTCTCATTATTATGTTAAACGTCGCAAAACATACATATTTTTTGTATACCTTTCTATTATGGTCAAGGAATAGCTTAAGTAGCCGCCTTACGTAAAATTGAATTCCATCATTATTTGATCACATTTTCCAATTCAAAATGTGTTACGATTTGTCGGATTATCATTTTATTCATGTAAAAGGGAAATTAATAAGGACGCGTACAGCAATGTGTAACAAACAGTTTCTAATGTCATGGGTGAAATAGACAAGTACCCGGCGGCGAGACGCCGGCAGCGATTATTTACGAGTACTACATTAATTTAGATCAATAGGAGTTGATATAGGTCATTAACAATCATTTATTTCCAATAGAATCTTCGCGTTAGCACTGCATTGATATTGATTGACAATTTCTATTTCAAGTGTTAGATCTGTACACATACCTCATGTCAAGAGCCTGCACAGCGTAAAAGCTCGGAGCTGAGTTCCGCCATTTCTGAAACAACATTGTTATATTTGAAAAATGATTGCCTTATATTCAAACGGCATACGAGAAATGACGTAACCACAAAATACCATCACCGTCAGTTCAAAAAGGACACTCACATCATGACGATCTATTATATAGACGGGTCTCACTTGACTGTAATATCTGTTGCAAATGCATGGAGATTGAAACGCCGGCCTAGTAGCGGCGGCTAGCCGGCGAAGTTGGCGGGTACTCATGGTCAGGTTTCTGGATGACTGCCGGAACAGATGATCGTCGAGCCGACAAGGGGGTCAGGTTCGCGCGAGCGCTCCACCGAGTAGCTGTGTCGCGCACGCGTTACTGACTGAACACCGCCCGCCCCCCATCGTGTCTGTCGTTTATCTGTTACTATTTACTCTGTTAGTTTACCTGTGAGTGACGAGCCTTCGTCGTCGGGAAATCATGTTACGTATATCGTGACTATTACATATGTAGGTTTTTGTCATTGTAACAGTTCAAGTAAACTGTTTTTTCTATTTGGTACGGTATTAAAGATAACTATTGGATTGTGTTTAACATTGAATTTATGTTTTGCCCACAATACCTATATGTATATACCTATCCCAAACTAAAACAATATACGGCTGGGGTCACAGAAATAAATTGTTGCTGGCTCTACGAGAACCTAGAAGATAGAAATTCCTCGATATTCGTAAAATTTATGTGATTTTAGAACTAGCTATTCCCGCGACTTCGCCCGCGTAAATTATTATCTATGACGTGGGTACGTACCTATAGGTGAAAGAATTTTAAAATCGCTACAGTTGTTTAGAAGCCTATTAAACAAACAAACAATTAAATCTTTTCTCTTTATAATATTTGTATGAACTCGTATCATATGATGACACCAAGCCAAACAATTGTTGTCATGCTTTACTTTCGGATGATTTTGCGCGTTGTGCAGACCGTAGAGCCATATTCTGTTTCTCCAAAAACTGAATAACGGATAATTTACAAATTACTTTGTTTAAAATCAGTATCTGTGCAGATTATATACGTGTAAATTACAGGCCAGGCAGTATCTCATTTGGGTTATAAATTTTCAATAAAATTGCTTTAGTAGAGTCGTGATAGCGTTCCGTGAGCGCTCCTAAAAAATGGGAAATGTAATTTTCAGAGAAACAGAGAAAGCGCTCTAATTAGAGAATGTGTAAGTCTTTTCTTTATACACTTTAATTATGTATAATTTCACAAAGAATCTTCCAACTTTTCCATAATGGTTAATAAGATTTCACTGGACGAATGATGTTTAAACAACTCTGTTTATTAAATCCAAATAGCTTTCGAAATTATTCAATAACGTTCGCCCATTTAATTACCAAAGTAATGAATATAAGATGATATAAAAAATGTTTAATTTTTCATTTAAATAAAATAAGTAAGTAGATTTTATGAAAACTTAACAGACGAGTTCTTTGACAAAATCCATCATGATTAAAGCCAGTGCAGACAGACAAAATCTTATCAACTGTTTTGATAAGATTTATTTATAATATATTACCCATATTAATCATTTCAAATGATTAAGAGTGTTTCATTTCAAATTGTAGCTGTGGATATTTAACTTGCAATAATATCGTTTTGCTGTAGTAACAAAATTATCAGGTAGCTAATGTAATAACAAACAAAGAACTCTTTTCAGCGTCATATAAGACTAGTACGCGCAATCTAGTGCTTATCCTGTCTCGCGTGTCGAGCAAATTTATGAAGACAAGTACCAACCGTGGAACCACTCAACGCCGGCTCAATGAGATTTGGCGACCTAGGCAAAACACTGTAACTTGGCACCATAGGCAAAACACTGGAACTTGACGCCCTAGGCAAAACACTGGAACTTGACGCCCTAGGCAAACCACTGGAACTTGGTGCTTTAGGCAAAACACTGGGGCTTAGCGCCCTAGGCAAAACACTGGAACATGGCACCCTAGGCAAAACATTGGAAATTGGCGCCCTAGGTAAACATTGGAACATCTTAAGTTCCAAATAATTAGACCAAACGTAATCTGTTAGCCATGCCTAGTTTACCTATATGAACGGGCTTGTCCTAGAACCACGTGGCTCGATCTAGATATTCCGAAACTTTACATAGCTGCCATGACATTCTCAGTGTTAACTACAGGTTTTCCTACCATGGATTTGTGCACTGCTACTCTATTATTTTAAAAACAGCCTCGGATTCTACGGCGAGATTAAGGCTGTTTTTAACAGAATGCACTGCAGATGACGAGTTTAGTTAAAGTTGTTTAGCAACAACGATCGCGGGGCCAAGGCGCTTAATTTTAAATTAAATTACGCGTCTAACGACCAGTTGCACAAATTTCCATTGAGGTTTAATGACGCCTTTAAGTTCTAATAAATGTTAAATTTCTTTGTGTAATGTCGCTTTAAACTAATGCCAATTTTAATGAACGTTTGTGCAACTGGCTGCAAAACTGGTTTGTACCACAATATTTATTTATTTATTTATTTAATCTTTATTGCATGGAATAGCAAATGGCGGACTTAATGCCAAGGGCATTCTCTACCAGTCTACCAGACAGAAAGTAGGAAGCAAGATGTATGGCGATAAAGAAAGTAGAAGTAAGTACTAAACAAAAAAAAAAACAAAAAACAGTTATACATAAAATAATAAACAAATAGATTTATGCATAAATAAATATTGATATATACGTATATTATAAATATATACAATAACATATATACATATATACTACATATAACATATATACTACAATATGTATCTTACTGACTGATATCACCTGGGAGCACAAAGTGGAAAACAATGAAAATATTTTGTTCATCTTGACATAAATCACCTAGGTCGGGAACAACAACCATACGAGAAAGTAGTCTAGTAACTGAACTATGGATCGATTACATGATTTAAAGTGTTTCACAATAACATTTTTTTTTAAGTTGTACTTAACCGCTGGTTACCAACACCTGACCAAGATGAACAGGAACGACTGCAATTTTTAAATTTTATTAAATTAACACTTTATTCTCATCAGATTTTTAAATTGAGTATATTTTGAAATGAGTTTCATTTTAACTAACACTAATTCAAAACATATCGTATAAACTATAACAAATACCAGCGGCTCTACTGATGTTACTCTAAATTTTATTACAAGAAATGCAACGCTACAACAAAAAAATGAGACATTTATAACTAAAGGATACTTAAAGAGTTTTCAATACGGGAATCTCGACGTCAAACAAGGTTACGTATAAATGTACGTCATTTTTGAAAAAGTTGAGCAACATTGTTAGGTAGGTGTATCAGAAGCAGTAGCGTGCGTAGTGGGCGGGAGGGCACTTTTTAGGGGGGCGGAAAAATTTCACAGTAAACAATAAAATATATACTTTTAATGATTGACCCAATTCATATTTTTAACTCAACTATAAATTCGGACCAAATGAAAAAAGCATGGAAGCAATGAAAACTGTTACTGTGACGGATTCGGAGAATACTCTTTCTTTAAATGATATTTTGTAGCGAATGGCAACACCATCCATACTGACTTATGGGGATTCCACGTATTTTATTTTGTGCTTGGATTGTTTATGACTTATAATCAGCAATATTGACTTCTATTACATATATATTAAGTTCAATATTGTTTATTACGTTCCTTTAAGAGAGTACGTGATGCTTTGACAATTCAAAGAAAGTTTTATATATGGATCTTCAATTTAGTTATTTTTTTATTTCAAGTCTTTTTTGTTTTTTTAAACACATGCCCGCTTTTTAGGATACAAGTCCTGTGTAGCGAGCGACAAAATACACCCAGACTAAGAACAATTATTTGTAAATCATACGAAAAATTGTCCTTTGTGGGGATCGAACCACTACACTCCATCCGTGGGCAGTTACACGGCGACAACTAAACCACTTGACCAACCGTCCAGTCAAAATGTAACCTGTATTATGCAAAATAATGATGACAGTTCTTGCCGAAAAAAATCAATGAAATACCTAATTACGAGGGGCAGCAAAATTGTCTTCCACCCCGGGCGGCAGACACCCACGCTACGCAACTGATCAATAGTTCTGAATTAAGTCACTACTCATTTGCGATCCTTTATTACGACGAGAGGTATGACGTAAATGAACCATTTTTTGAAGAGATCGATAACTTGGTATAAATGGATTACGTTCAACAAGAACGTGTAAAGGTTGTGATCAAAGCTCGGTCTGTAACCGTATCTGAGTTGGCTCTCAATGAAGTGATACTGTGTGATAGAATTGAAAAGAATATCTAATGAAGGCAAAAACTCGAAAGAAAGCCCCAGGAAATATTTATTAAATGTATATGTTATTTTTTTTTTCAGTTGTGATAGAATGTACCTATATTATATTTAAAAAATGTTTTATGTATATATAAATTTATGAATATACTTATACACGATGTCAGAATAACTTGAAATATCCCACAAATTTATTAATAGCTGTTATTAATGGGGTAAATTATTATACCCCAAATGTCACCCGTGTATGAGGTAAGCGAAATATTTTTTTTAAATCAGTTCAGTACTTTCTGAACCTATTCCTTGCAAGCAAACTACTCCAACAATCAAATAGTTCATCTTTATAATATAAGTATAGATTACTAGTACCAATGAGAATTTTTGTGTGTATTATCATTATTGATTACTACAAAAATAAATAGAATAGAAATATCATATATTATTTACAAATAAATTACACTTATGAATATTGAAATGTGGTCCGAGTTTGAAATCACTACATTTATTTTTCATTTTTCTAAAATTTGAAATGGAAGAACTCCACAAGTTTTATGCTTTGAAGTCGTTATTTGCTCGGGGTTTCCGATTTTTTAAAATATTATTTTAGTCTTTTTTTTATAAAAGCATTCACACACACAATTTCAGTTAAACTACCACATCAAGCTACCATCGTTGTTAAGGCACTAGTAGCTCCAGATTATAATGTGGACTAGTTTGCGACTGAAAATTCTAAAATTTCCAGTCATAATCTCGTGAGTAAAACGAACGCAATTTAAAATCTGCGTAGAATTCTGTCGACAGAAAAAGAAGATATTCACCTCAAACTCATTGCTACCATCCATCACGAAATCCTCGTAGCCTTTTGAAAAGTATCTCATGAGTGTGTACCGGATCCGCGGTAAGCGCATACGGTGCTCGCTCAAACCGATTTTATTTCAGTAACAGTGGTGCGCATACGACGACACTCCTGCGCTATACTGAATAATTGTTCTTCACACAAACATTTATAAATATCTGCAAATGACTGCTAGAAACCGCTTGCCGGGAACAAGCTATATTTAGCATCATGCACGGAACATAAAAAATAAGAGCCGCCATTGATTGTACTTTTGCTCAAAGTTATACTACATAGAGCGTAGGGACTGACGTAAACGTTAATATTGATTGTCGCACGTCAACTGTGCGACATAACCTATACACTAGTTATCAGGATAAGGAGAATATTTTTACTTTCATTATACCAGCATTTAATACTTTTACACATAAAAAAGTACGAATCGAACAAGCGCGCAGAAGCAACCGTATTTAAAAGCTTAATACTTTTTATCGCTGAACTTCGGTATAATCAAAATTTCGATTTCGGAGATCCGGCTTGGGGATTATTTATTAAGAATTTTTTAAGTTTCTTCACTTAAAAAAATACTCTACACTAAAATTCTTAAAAACAGTTACACAGCCGACTTGCGTGTGTGTACAAAATTATAAGGCAACCTATCAAATAGTGACGGAGCAAATCAGATGTTACATTTCAAAGAACAAACAGACTTTGAGGTCATTCTTATGTTACTATTAAAAAGGAAGAGACATATAAAACCTCAAAATCGTTTTTCGTTTTAAATAGGATCCTTGTAGGTACTTCAACTTTTAAAAACCAGTATTTAGGTGTTCGAGCCTCCGCTTGACCCAATATGAGATTACCCCCGGAGTTTTACATAGTTACGGTGTGATTATACCCTCATATTTCTAATTAATCGTGACAATTCGGGTAGCAGCACTCACGCGTTGACAACATCATAGCCGGCGGCCATATCGTTCCTCAGTACATCTTGTGTTTTCGAAGTGAGCGGTGTGATTACTAAAAGTTTATTATTTTTAAAATAAAATAATTAATGTGCAAGGGAACTCTAATGAGTTATGTTTTTTTTTGTTTTAATGTATTTGGTGCTCGTGTGAAAATTACTCCGAAGCTATAAGCGAATGCTCTTAGGACTGCATACTTGAAGATGATTCTGGAAAAACTATAAAATAAGAGGATGCTTCCTCTTATGACTGCATACTCGCATACGATTCTCGAGAGGCTCCATGTTAGGAGGTAGGAGGTAGAGGCACATAAAAGGAAAAACCAGTTACAATTACAAGAAGATGGAAGACGAGAAGAAGATGGAAGACGAGAAGAAGATGGAAGACGAGAAGAAGAAGGAGACGAAGAAACATTAATTGACCTGTGATAAATTTATAGCGTTTCATGCCAACAGCATTGTGCTTAGACGTTTTGTCTTGGAATCGAAATAAATTCACTGATGTTGTTACCATGACGTTATAGAGATATTCGGCCACCGCAGCCATCTACACAACACTACGACGCAGCATCTTGAGATCGAGACTATCTCACTGATGCAAATTACCTTTTTATATTCCATTAAATATAAAAATACAACTATTAAACATAGTGGGCTACGTTTATAGTGGGTACGTTTATGATAATATAGAAGCAATGAAAGCACCCGGTTCAGAGAATTTATCGCGATCTCTGTGTCTGGCCTTATTTTAAAATTTTTTGCATACTGTTAATTGCTGAGAATTGAGAAGTGACTTAGATTACTCTTAAACATTTTAGTTGTAATAAATTATATGTAGAATGTTCTTAGTATAGTCATGATATTTGTAAGACAAGATTTATTTTTAAATACCTAGATTTTTGAGGCAGGTACTATTATTATCTTGGCACTACATTGTGAGTGTTAAATTACGAGTACTAATTACTAATACTGTATAATATTGCAGTGATGTTCTTTAAACTTAACCTCAGCTGCAAAATATGTTCTAGCAACTTCTTTCATTGTATAATCAGGTATGGCAGTACAAAGGGGTTGATTGTGAACTCAATTAAGCATTTTTGAAAGAATAAACATTGAAGGAATAAAATAAATAATTAAAAAAATTTAATTCTTGTCTGCCAAACTAAAAATTGATATGTTTCCAAAAAAAAAATGAAAAATTATTAGAAGTCTTATGACATCTAGTTCTTTATTAAAAAAATTGTGACCCAGTGTGACCCACATGTGGCCCATATCATGAATCTTCAATGACTCGTATTAGAATTATTATTATAATAAGCGGAAATTTATTAACATAAGGTGTAAAATACAATACAATAGGTTTGATTCGCATTAAAATTGCCAACGTTTTCTTCTTGAATATTTTTTCTGTGCTACCCTAGTTTGTATTATTACGAACATTATCACATAAATGTGGTTGTTTGTCTAGACAAAAAAAAATCTGTCAAAATACTGCTATTTGTTAAGCGCACGAGCATTCCTCTTCGCTAGGATGTCATTGCGGATGTGTTATTCCTTTTATTGAATATAACGTAAATTGGTTCGGTGTTCCTCAGCACCAAGTCAGCGGCTATTCGCAGCTCCCAAGGTCGTGTAACCGGCTCCAGCTCGAAGTGTCGTAGTATAGCTGACAATGCTGATTTCATCTCCATCATAGCGAACTTTTGACCTGCAAAAAAATTGAAGCAATTTTTTGTGAGTATCTCAAACCCTTTTAAAATTTGAATAATTTATGAACTGTGTGATCTTTGACAATACTTTATTCATCAGTTGTTTGCATATATATACTTTTTATTATTATTTCTTTAATATATCGTTTACAGTGGGTGTTTCTAAATATAAATTAATTTATTTACCCATTATGGGAAGCAAAAAAGGAAAATTATAGTTTTGATCAGTATAATAACTAATATTATATTATACAGTGTGTATGTTCAATAAATCGGATTTAATTACTTGAGCTCAACGTTTAATACAGTATTAAAAGTGGAATGTTTCGATGAATTTTGATTGAACCCAATGTCAATTACATCGAAGCTAATGTAGCTAAGAAGTGCGGTACCAACCTGCTGTTCTTTCACTACACGTATCATATTTTGACACTTAAGATATTATAAATAGCTTGATCTTTCGCTGCCTAATAATCACTAGAACACAAATGATTTCTTTAAGAAAAGAAATAGGATTTAGAGGAATTTTGCAGTGGCGTGCACGCCGTTTTCAAAGCGGCATCATCTGTAATTTTTGATTCAATTCCCGTTGGATGAACGTAAAAAATGAACTTACCTATATTACGTCAAGTCTAGATGCTGTGGAACTTTCATTGTTTTAAACTAGAACTATGTGACTAGTTAGGGTTAAGATATGTTGTCTTAAAGAATATATGTTTACCTATACAATTCCGTGGACCTGCACTGAACGGAATATAGGCGTATGGGTGACGTCCCACACAGTTCTCTGGTAAAAAACGGTCGGGATCGAACTTCAACGGATTGGGAAATAAATCTTCACGGCGGTGAAGATCGTAGATGTGAACATGGCAGATTACATCTTTAGGTAATTTATATCCCCCTGTGAAAGACATATGTATATTTTAGTAGAGTTAAAGCCAAGGTCAAATAAATTTCACAAGGGTCTGTCATAGGATGAGTTACCAGAAATTTATTACCTCTATAATTCGGAGTAGCTCGGTGGCGTAGTGTATAAGCGCCGCAGCTTTCGATCGTTGTTTTTAAGCAACTTTCGTAAGGGTCGGTCATGAGATGGGTGACCAAAAATCTCAAATTACTTCATGCTTGAGAAGGCACGCTAGCCATTAGTCCTGGCTACATCTGCAGTCGTTAGTATCCTCCAATCCGCATTGGGTGAGCGTGGAGTTTCATGGGCCATCCTCCTTAACCATCTTTAAGAAACACCTTAGCCCCCGCAATGGAGACGTTAAAAAGTTGATGATGATATTTTGGAAGGTTAAGAAGTTGTTCCCGGTTGTATATATAATCGTTCATATCACCCATCATCATTTTTTTGAGCAGGGCTTTCATAGACTGGTTACCCTATTTGTGTCCATGTGCATCAAAATTATAATATAGTGCAATTTTTTGTTACTAATTTTAAATTGCATAAAAGGTATTTCAAATATACTTATAAGATATCCTTTTACTATTTAGATGTTTTTACTTTGCACAGTTGTAAAAAAATCAGCTCAAACATCTTCAACAGAGCTGTAGATATGTAAAAGAGCTGGTTTCTAAAAATAGTAAACTAAAATCAATTCTAATGAAGAATTTGCCATTGTATTCGATTACACGCACGGCTGTACACCACCTACCATAAGTAGACCTCGGGTAGTAGGGAAGTTCTATAAGAAGTACGATCGGTACAAAGTTCAGTGCACGTGCAGCCGTGTGTACTAGTAGATGGGAGGAAATAATCAACTTTTCCTTAATCATCTTCACTATTGTCACAAGAAACAGTATAGAGTATATTATAAAAAGTTAGTAATGTTAAGACTAACCTAAATTAATGGATTCAGATACTTGGCGACTGATGAATGGCACTGGCGGATAGAGTCTTAAAGACTCTTTAATACAGCATTCAAGATAGCGCATTTTAGACAAGTCCTCGTAGTTGGCATTACGTTTCGAATCACCAAAGATTGTTTGTAGTTCTTTAAATATATTATCCTGTAACAAAATAACTTTTAGTTTTTGAACGAAAGACTTAAAAAACTAAAAAAAAGTAAAAAAAACTCTTGAAAAATAACTTGAAGGTCATCACTATTTGTCGGCATCCCTATGTTTGTTAGCTGTCACTTTGACGTTTCACTTCGTAATTGTTTTTTAAACTATTAAAATCTGAAGACTTACTCTGTTTTACGAAAATGAAATTTCGTATATTTTCAAAATATTTATATGAGTCCAAAGAAATCCACTTATTTATAATATGAATGTAGACAGTAAACGCTAATAAATACATAGTATAATTTTTTCTGATATACTATTTCCGATAATCGCACTTTTATGCTTATCATATATTTTAAATATAATAAAAATAAAAGCTTGCTTAAATTAATTATGAAAAAATATATATTTCATACTCGTTGTGACGTGACCACATACAGCGCGTGACGTCACGCCCCTCTTATTCATATCAGAACTTAGATAATTGAACCTTATGCCTAATAGAACGATATTAGATTCACGAGGGCCGTCATAGCGATGCCATGACAGAAATTGGCATTTATGAGGAAAATTTTAGAAGCTAAATTTATTTTTAAATTTTTAAACTTATTACACGAATGATATTTTTTAATAGATATATTTCATGTATATCTATAAAATAAAAATAAAGTTGTCTACACCCTTAATTAATTATGTAACGGATGTAAGACCTGACACTGCCTATGATGCCTAGATAACCCTCACAAATATGATTAACAAAATTTCTCGAATTTTCAATCATAGAAAAACGGACTAAGCGCACTGAATTTGTATATTTCAATTTTAAAAGAGTAAATTGTGTTTATTAAGTATATAAAACAGCAATCTTACATTTCATATGTATTACTCACTTGTATATGTTTATGGTTGGCCAACAACATCAAACAATATATAAGGCCACATGCCGTGGTGTCGTGTCCCTGGTGAAAAAAAAAAACAATTATTCTATCCTACGCTTTATCACTGTACATTACACATTTAAACAACTTTTAAATGGGTTTAAGAGCTTGTAATTTAGAGATTTTATCATATTTTTAAACGAGCACATTTCAGTTTAGTGACCATGAAGCCTGCATACGGCGCGAAATATATAATAAAAATATATTTAAACTATTTTTTCCCCATATGAATATCCATATAGTAACTCAATCATAATGCAATTAGATATTCGCAATAAAAATTTTAAAAAACGAATTTTTAGGAAGGAAATTATTTAGGAAAGTAACCAAATATTAAGTAATGGTATACCGACTGTTTTGTTCTTAAAGTCTTGAAGAACTAGATAAAATCAACTCATTTCAGTTTAGAAAAGCTACTTACCTAATTTTTAAGTACTAGTAAACGACAATGAAGAAAACAATATAGACAATTGCTGCTTATTGCATCTAGCAGCATTTGTTAACGAGAAATGCTTGTATTACGTATTAGGGATACTACTCCATATTTGGTTACTTTCCTGCAATACTTGTAAATTGTAAACTCACTTCGAACATAAAGGTATCCACTTCTTCTTGAATACCTTGGTCGTCAATCAAATTATCTTTTTGTGCCTGAATAAGCAAATCTAACATGGCTGTTTTCTTTTTTTTATTGATCGTATCGAACTCGTTCTGTTCAACATTGTCCAGATTATCGTCACCATTTTCTTCTAAATATACTTTTCTATCCTTTATTACTTTTTTTGTGAAACTTTGAACGACCTCTATCGATTGTTTTTGTTGCCTTCCTAAAGTTGAACGATTAAATATAAAATCTGGAAATAATATAACTCTAGTCGTCCTTTGAACTAAACCTTTCCCTATATTATGAATTGCAGCTTTGTATGATTGCCCTTTGTCAGCCATCTCTTCCGAAAATCGCGTACCCATTGCAGTTTCTAAAACAACAGAATTTATGGCTATTTAAAGACTTTTATATAAAAATATCTACTATTAAGATTTTAAATTGCTTTATATAATAGAGAGAAAAGATTTGTATGTTTTATGCATCGAATAAGCTTCGAAACTACCTACTGGTTAAATTTAAAAATTCTTTCAACTATGGGAAGCTATGTCATTCGCAGATGATTATAAATAGCAAGTTTTATTAAATAGAAATGTGTTAAGTTTTCAGACAGTTTTCAGTATTATATGAGTAATCTTCACAACCACAAAACATTTTCGGGTAGACCTACATAATAGTAATCTGGAATCATTGAGTTGGAGCGAATATACATAGTATATAAGTGTTAAATTTAACCTCAGCAAAACTAACCTACAGAGTAAGATATGTTTATATATATGTATAGAAAGATATGTTTCGATGTATTGTAAAATTTCGATTTTATATATTTGAATTCAAATATATAAAATCGAAAAGAGAAAAGTGTTACGATATTGCACTTTTTATTGAAAAAAAACTCTAAGATGTTTCACTTGATTATACATCGATGTCGATAATACGTCTTTTATAATCGTGATCACACACTAGTTTTTCTTTACTTTATTAGTATGGTCCACTTTATATTCCAATGCATTAATTTAGTCTACAAAACATATTTTAACTATCCATAAAATAAAAAAAAAACAAACTATTTAAAAGCAAACAATACTTATGCTTACTCAAAGCTTTTGTTCATATTAGGTGTGTCGTAGAATATTGACTGGTTCTGATAGAGTAATGGGAATGGGAATATGATATAATAGAAACTTAGTACGAAATCTCACCACATATAGAGTTGAGCGTAAATTCGGACATAAGTGGTGTGATATCTATCTTTTTCCCTGTGGAGCTGCTTAATTCTTCTACCATTCTTCTGCTATTTTCTTCTATAGTCACACAGAATTTTTGAAGTATGTTGAAGTGGAATGTCGGTGTTAGTATTTTTCTGCGTTGTTGCCATTTTGCTCCTACGAAATGATTTAAAGTTGATACTTAAAAAAATATGTAATACCTTTAATACGAGCAATGCTTGTATGCAATTTCGTAAATGGCTTCATATTCGGAGCGATAAATCGATGTAGCTAGGTTTTATTCTTAGAAAACAAAAAAATAACGGTACTGGTCATTTGCGTATTATTATTTTTACTTTATTATTTACGTTTAAGTGCTCACAAATAAAAGCTTGTTTTTAAAAAACTTTTTGTTATTAGGAATATATTTTTTACTTTTTATATTTGTCTCATTCTATTAATTTCTGACGTAGCATCTGTATTGCAAGGTGTTTCTCCTGTTAATTTTGAGTTGTCATTGCTAATTTCCTATGAGCACCTTCCGACTTCATCATCATATCAGCTTACTGACACCATAATATAGCATTGTCATCTGACTTACATGTCTATGCAAAATTTCAAATCTATTTAACATTAGGAAGTGGGTCAAGTTTGAGTTCTAACATTTGCGCAAACAAACTAACAAGGTAAGTTTAAATAAAAGCTTGTAGAATATCTGCTTGATACATATTGTCAAGCAAAAACTTCTCTCGACTATACGAGTGAAAGGATCGCACAGTACGAAACCCCGTTTTTCCTCATCATGTTTTTATTATACTTTTCGATAATTTATATCATTTTAAAGCAATACATTAAAACTCCGAGATGAATGCGACAATGGGTTTATTTTAAAAAATTAACAAATTAAACTTAAGGTCAAGCGTCTGCGCTGTGACTCCGCTAGATAAGCATTTAACTCATAAACTGAAAATTATAAGAACTTTCAATCCTTATTATTCAGTTGTCATTTATATTATTATTTCGCTATATTGCCCAGGCGTAGAATTATATAATCAGGCAATAATCTACGAATTTGCGAAGGGGACAGAAACTTGATATTGCACCCTATAAACCTCCCCCCCATTTTTTTATTTCGTGTCCGTCCCATCAAAGTTCATTCCCGTAATGTGTGTGAATTATAATTTTTTTTGTGAAGATCGTTCTTTTCTTTTTGCCTATATTATATTATGATACCCACATTCGCCCTCCCCCTAGATCTTGTCAAATCCAATAATTCACCGAAATAACACTATATATAACAGAACTATATTTATTAATATATTCATATTTAAATTATATTTATGCGCCTATATTTTACATGCCTTGTCATGTTACATTTAATAAGTGACAGTGTTTAAAAGCAGGCGTTCTAGAGTTTCGGCAAATCTTTATAATAATTTAATAAGTAAGGAAATTTCCTCGTATTTACTCAACTTACCTTTACTTATGAGTAACCCATCTCTTAACCATGGTCTCATAAAATCATATATTAAACTTTTTTCATTATGCTTCGTTGTTGAAATTAGCGCCTGGAAATATAAATGGGATTAAAATATTTTGGAAAAAAGTTACAAAAGCACTTAAATATATTATTAATAAATGTTTATTTTGTAGTAAAAGGAGTTTTACTCAAATAAGTTTTTCAATGACGAATTAACTTGGAGCGAGAGTTTACTTTGGGCTTATGCCGTTTATGTATGCTAGTAATTGCCCTTGGTATCGGTTATAGAATCAAAGGCTGCACGAAATATAAGTAATAGTACGTAAATATACTAGCACGGTTGCCTTGCGTGATGTAGTTTGTTTTGAGTATTTGCCAGAGTTGGACACACATTTGTTGATTGCAGCAAACGCCCATAATATAATAGCGTGTGGAACTAGTCAAATGTTTTGATAATTACCTCGACATTATCTGGAGTGAAAATACTTATAGCAGCCAAATTGAAAGCCCAGAACCTATAAATTTCTTTCCATTTGTTTGCGGCTTTTCTAGTTAACCCAAAAATTTTAACTGTGAATAAATCATAGTGAAAAATTATGATAGTAATACTCGTATTTATATATATAAATATATTATTTTTCAAAGTATGTAGTATGGTCGATACGATCAACATTGGAATTTATGAAATTACCTATTTAGTCTTGTGAAGTTGTTAATGTTTTTTAAATAACACTGTATACCTCATCCATAGAAAGATAAACAACTATGTTATTCTGTAAGAAAGAAAATCAAACTCGATGTAGAGCTCAACAATGTCAAGCCAACCAAAGAGCTTCAGTAAAATGCTGAGACAGTGCTGCATTCATCATCGAGTTTTAGGCTGATTTTATAACAGAATTGCTATATATAATTTAGTAACCACAACTTTATACTTTAAAAAAACTTAATACTTCGCAATTTTTTTTTTATTGTTAATTTATTGTACTGTCGAGATTCTTATAGGTCTATGTTTAAACAAAGGTCGACGGTACGCAACTAATGCATTATTGGTGATGAGGCTAGTGTTAGACATTCGAGTGACATGCTTAATTTTTTTTTTTGTATAAAAGCAAAATGTAACATGTTAAGTCGTCCAACGGTCCTTGTTTTTTTTAATGTGAACTAAGCCTTATATTGATTTTTGGGAATGCTGTATGATCTACTCCTGCTGCTTGACAGACCCATACAAAACTATCAAAAGAGCGTTCATAAAAGTAAATGTTTGTTAAAGGTCTCATAAAAAATATACTTCTTGTGAGCAACTTTATTTAAATTGAACTTGTATGAAGGTGAAGCGGGTCAGTTAGTATTTACATAAACAAAATTAATGAATCAACACTCTCAAATAAATCTAGCACTAAACAAACAACCTTTTATATCATTCGTCCGATATATTGGATTTAAATTATATCATTGGATTTAAAATGTTGGGCCATTTCCATAGAAAATGGAATACATTGATAAAATCATGAGCTTGTATTGTAGTCTACAATTTGTACAGCTCAAACTAACCTAAAACTACATTCAAAACTTTCATTTTTATTTAGTAGCAATTTGAGTAAGGTTTATAAATATAAATATCAACATCACATACATTGTTCAGATTCCAAGATGAGTAGTCAAAGCCCCCGTATTATGGAGTATCTGAGACAACGAAAGTAACACAACACCCAGACCCGACACAATATAGAAAAGTTCATTTTCTACATTGACCCGACCGGGGATCGAACCCGGGACCTCAGAGATGGCGACACCTTGAAACCGGCGTGCGCACCACTCGGCTACGGAGGTCGGTTTGGAACAAATCTGATGAAAGATCGAGCCTCTTACAGAAGAAGTCGTCCATATGGTTGCCATGTCGTAGTAGGTTTGCAACAGCCGTTCTTAGGTTGTTAACCATCAAGGTAACCTCCGTCAGATCTCAGGTTAGCAACCATGTGGTTGTGGAGTACCTATTTGTACATGGCCGATCATCCGCCGAGTGTACAAGGTTGGCTGTCTTATCATATAAGTATTTGTTATATGACTGACCGACGACAATCCTCGACGCATATCGCACGTTGAGAACGATAGTGACACAATGCAAAAAATGCGATTTTGAGTAATGAGCGTTTAAAGTTCAAGAAATTGTAATCAGCTCCTCTAAACAACGTATCGTCACTACGCCACCTAGCAGTTTCTACGCAAGCTACGTTCACAGGGATCTTTGCATTTTAAAGTTTATACTTAACAAAGAAAAATGTTGTCAAAAGTAAAAAATACGTCGTTTTTGGTTAGTGACATTGTCATTCTCAACGTGCGATATATGCACCGATTTGATTGGTTCGTTTATCTGTCAATAAACTCAAATTGGTGTTAAGAGTTACCACTTCTCACAAAATTGATACCTAATGATAAGCAATCCGAGGCAACTAACCGGGCACATCTGTGTTTTATTATAAATCATACGAATTAACGTGACGCTCGAAGGCCTATTTTATTTGTCCTCGAACGTAAAATCGAAAAAATTCGGTTTGTTGTGATAATTTTTTTTAAAATTATAATTGTGAAGATTATCTGTGCCAGATCCTGCCTCCGTTGTATCATAAATTATCGAAAAATGCGTTTCTTCGGAGTCGTATTCGCATACGAAAGTAGACGGAATTTCCCTTTCGTAGAAATAGAGTAGGCCTGCAGGTTCGTACTATTTACTTTGGTACAAGCGATTTCGTAAAACACACTTAAATGAATTACTTACCCGGCGTAGAAAAGAATTCTAGACTGTTCCCTATGACAAAAATGTCATCGGGTCCTGGTATTTTCTTGATTAACTATGCTTTTTCATTACAATTAAACAATATATGTAGAAGAATGAGGAAAAAAATTGTTGATAATAAAATAATAAGCAGCATGTTCAATTACACGTACGTAGACACAGAACTGACGGTCACAACTGAGAAACTGCGACTTTTTTAGTATTATTATAATATTATATGATCAAATATATCTCTAGGTTTTTATAAGCCTTTATCTTTCCTGTTAGGATATATTCTTATTAGCAAAAGAAGTGAAATAGCCTTGACATTATGTAAACGAATTTATCTTTTACACTCTATATAATATTATAAAAAAGAAAAAGTTGATTGTATGTTTGTTGTATAGGCACCGAAACTATTGGACCGATTTAAAAAATTCTTTTACCTACGGGTAGCTAAATCATACGTGTTTGAAATAGAGTATTATTTAAGTGTTCTAAGTCGCGGGAAACAGTTAGTTATTTATACTTGATTAAGTAATAAAATTTGCTATAAAAATATTAACAAGTACGGTGATTTTCATAAGGCTGATTTCTTCTTATAAAAAGTTGACTGGTGTTATATTTCAAAAGTTTTTATACTATAATATCATGACTTATCGAAATAATAAATCAAAATCAAACAGTAACTTTTTTATTATATCAATCATTACATTAAATATAGAAAAAAGTAAAAAATTACATTACATTGATATTATATTACATTACATAGAATAAAAAGTAAAAAAGAAAAGTAAATTGTTTCTTGCATGTTGCATTGCGTTCGATGTTACCTGTATGATTTATGCTGATTAAGTTAACAGTCTTCTTAAAAATATTACTTCAACAGGTCCACTGTTTCGAAGTACAAGATCTGAATGTATTTGAATATCAGCTGGTGTAGTGACAGGTTTCAATAGATAGCTTTTCAATATTGTCGCAATCACTGTTTTCATCTCCAACATTGCAAACTTTTGACCTTAAAAATATATATGAATTTGTATTTAACAAATAAATAAAAGCGCCATCAAAATAGCGCATTAAATATGGCAATTTAGTTTACACAGACTAGAACAAAAGTAGATCGTTGCAAACTGTATTTGAATTGAATGAATTGAGCCCGTTGTGATTGACGCAAGGTACCCATTAGAAAATAAGATGAAGAATTGATCCCGCGCAAATCTATTTCTATTTGATGTATGTACCTACCATACTTGATCGCATGAATAATTTAAGGGAACAGTTGTGTACTAACTCAAATTTATACTAGAAATACCTATAATAATAAAACACTGGTGGTCGTCTCTCACGAAAAAAAATCGTGGTAATAGACGATATTAATTGTTCACTATGTAAAATATAAACAAAAGGGTTACTGTTTACTAAGAACTGTTAGAAATAAGTAGGTTAAATTATTCTGACCTTGTAAATAATTATGTAACTATGTTTCATAGCTATATAAAGACATGGAGATTGAATAGACTAATTTGTCGAATCAAATACAATCGGGAGAATAAGCCATGACTCATGTACGCCTCGCAGGCCCAGTGCGAACTGATGGATACTAACCACTGCAGATGTAATCGGTACCAAAAAAGATCTATAGTTCAGGAAGATTTCTTTCGGAGCTCTTAACTCCCGCATGGATGACCGAATGTACTTACCACTGCGCTATTGAGCACCTCAACATATTTAATATTATACCAAATAATAATAGAAAGAGCTCGACAATTGTCCGATTATTGTGACTTTGTTTGGAGCTAAAATTGAGTTTGACAAGCTATTATTTTATGTAAGAGCATAGTTACTGTCATTTGTCTACTAACCTATACAATTCCTTGGACCGGCACTAAAAGGTATGTAAGAATAAGGGTGCCGACCAACGCTATTCTCCGGTAGAAACCTGTCAGGGTTAAACGCGTTGGGAATTTCAAATAAATCTTCTCTTCTGTGCAGATCATAAATATGAATGTGGCAGTAAGTACCAGCAGGTACTGTGTAGTTACCTATAAATAGAGTACACTGATAGACAAGTAAACAAAAATGACTTTAAGCTCTAACTTATTAAAAGTTGAATTGAGAAAAGTTTTTAACTACTTACTCAATTTCTCAGGCGAATCTAAGATGCGGCTTATAAAAGGAACTGGGGGGTAAAGTCGTAAAGATTCTTTGATACATCTCTCTAGATATTTCAATTTAGACAAATCTTCTATTGTAAGTCTTTGATTAGAATCCCCTATCTCTTGTTTCATTTCAGCTACTATTTTATCCTGAAATTATGAAGGTTTCACCATATTAAAAAGTGCCATACCTATATAAAAAGACTGTATGAATATCATATTTTACCTTTAATATCAATATTTTAAAAAATTAGAGAATTGTTTAAAGTTTCGGTATACACGTATATAATCGGTACGTATTAAATATACTAGCAGGCCCGGCCAACGTTGTTTTCTCATATCAATTTGGGATGGTCCACCCTTATTACCAGAGGTCGGAATTGGGTAGAGTTATTTATGTACTTGCATCGAAATGTTGATATTAATGTGGACCTTCCCGGGATTTCTAATGGACAATCCCGTGTGGCGAACAACCTTACAACTAAATAATAATACCAACGTCAGAGATAGACAAATAAAACAACGATAATTAACATAAAATTTTTATTAGTTTATATTAATTTACAATACCATGGGGTGGGGTGCCGGCCTAAGAGTAGCACCCCCCCATATCCTCCCGTGGGTGTCGTAGGAGCCGACTGAGGGATTATACGGAAGGCAGGCAGCAGCGCCTCCCGGTATCACCTACCACCACCTACTGCGATCCCCAAGTCGCCTGCCAAGCGTGGGGATTATGGCAACCCCCCCCCTCATGATGGACGACAATGTTGTATGGCCCCCAGTCCCCGGCAACCCCTCTATTCCTGTCTCTGGTAGCGGGACAGGTAACGGAGGGGCAGGGGGTGCTAAGAATCCCCGGCAGATTCGGCGCTACCAACATAAACGGACTCTGGCCCTGGCAACATACAATGTCCGCACACTGAGGACTGACGTGAAGTTATTAGAGCTGGAGGAAGAATTGAGCATACAGGTTTACGCCCCGACCTCTTCACACTCCGACGATGAGGTAGAGGCTATGTATGAGGAGATTTCTGAAGCCATACATACGACTAATACCTACTTCACCGTTGTAATGGGGGACTTTAACGCGAAGCTGGGCGCTTCGAACGGCGATGAGTTGAGGGTGGGTCGATTTGGGTATGGGCGGCGCAACCACCGGGGCCAGAAGCTGGTCGATTTCATGGAGAAGGAGGGACTCTTTGCGATGAACTCCTTCTTCCAGAAGAGACCCTCCAGGAAGTGGACCTGGATGAGCCCTGATGGTTCGACAAAAAATGAGATCGACTTCATCATGACAACCAGAAAGCACATATTCAATGATGTCTCCGTGATCAGCAGGGTGAAAACCGGTAGCGATCACCGAATCGTTAGAGGCACATTGAATATCAATGTTAAGCTCGAAAGATCACGTCTGATGAAGTCTACGCTCCGTCCTAGTGCTGCTCATATCGTGGACCCCGAAGCCTTCCAACTCCAATTACACAATCGCTTTCAGTGTCTAGCTGAATGCGAGTCTGTGGACGAAATAAACAACGGGTTTGTAGAAACAGTCCAAGCTGTGGGGTCTAAGTTCTATAAGGCCCCGCGCCGTATTAAATCTCAAAAGCTCTCAGACGAAACGCTCAAGTTGATGGCGGACCGGAGAGATATGAGACTGCAATCTTTAACCGATATGTCGGAATATGGTCGACTTAACAGACGAATTTCCAAATCGATGCGACGCGATCTACGCTCCTATAATTCTACACGTATTAGGGAGGCAATAGAGCGGAACCAAGGCTCCAAAGTGTTTGCACGAAATTTGTCTGCTGGGTCAAGTCAGATGACGAAGCTGAAGATCGACGACGGCAGGATCGTATCTTCAAAACCGGAGATTCTGATTGAGCTTGAGAGGTTTTATGGACAGTTGTACACATCATCACAACAACCCGTTGGAAGCAATGCTCAGGACACCAGAGCAAAGCTGACCCGACATCACACCGAGGATATCCCAGACATCAGCCTGTACGAGATTAGAATGGCACTCAAACAGCTCAAGAACAACAAGGCACCGGGGGATGACAGAATCACTACTGAACTTTTGCGAGCGGGTGGAAAACCGGTACTCTTAGTCCTCCAGAAATTGTTCAATTCCGTCATTCTCGAAGGTACGACGCCAGAAGCGTGGCACAGAAGCGTGGTTGTGCTCTTCTTCAAAAAAGGTGACAAGACCTTGTTGAAGAATTATAGACCAATCTCGCTTCTGAGCCACGTTTATAAGCTGTTTTCGAGGGTCATTACGAATCGTCTCGAACGCCGGTTTGACGACTTCCAGCCTCCCGAACAAGCCGGTTTCCGAAAAGGCTTTAGCACCATAGACCACATACATACGCTGCGGCAGATTATACAGAAGACCGAGGAGTATAATCTGCCACTTTGCTTAGCGTTTGTGGACTATGAGAAAGCCTTCGATTCAATCGAAACCTGGGCAGTACTGCAGTCCCTCCAGCGATGCCAAATCGACTACAGGTACGTCGAAGTGTTGAAGCATTTGTATAGCAACGCCACAATGTCGATTCGCTACCAGGAAGAGAGCACGAAACCAATCCAATTGCGCAGAGGCGTGAGACAGGGAGATGTCATTTCTCCGAAACTGTTCACGAATGCATTGGAGGACGTCTTCAAGCTCTTGGAATGGGACGAATACGGCATCAACATCAATGGCGAATACATCACTCACCTTCGTTTCGCCGATGATATAGTCATCTTGGCAAGATCGATGGAGCACATCAGTACAATGCTCAGCGACCTGAGTATCGTTTCCAAACAGGTGGGTCTTAAAATGAACATGAACAAGACGAAAATCATGTCGAATGTCCATGTTGCACCCGTACCGGTGGTCATTGGAACTGAAACTCTCGAAGTTGTCGATCACTACGTGTACCTTGGACAGACAATCCAGTTAGGTAGATCCAATTTCGACAAAGAGGTCGCTCGAAGAATCCAACTCGGCTGGGCAGCGTTCGGGAAGCTACGCGATATCTTCACGTCCAAATTACCACAGTGCCTAAAGACGAAGGTGTATAACCAGTGTTTGTTGCCAGTGATGACCTATGGCACTGAAACGTGGTCCTTAACTGCTGGCCTCTTAGAGAAGCTCAGAGTCGAGCTATGAGCAGAGTCTCATATGTTAGGGATTTCTTTGCGCGATAGGATCCGAAACGTGGATATTCGCCAAAGAACTAGAGTGACCGACATAGCTCGCAAAGTTTGTAAGCTGAAGTGGCAGTGGGCAGGCCACATCGCTCGACGAACCGATAACCGATGGGGACGAAAGGTTCTCGAGTGGAGACCACGAACCAGAAGACGCAGCGTGGGTCGACCCCCGACTAGATGGACGGACGACATCGTCCGAGTCGCGGGCGGCCACTGGATGCAGCTGGCGCAATGTCGTCCGTCGTGGCGTTCAAAGGGGGAGGCCTATGTTCAGCAGTGGACGTCTTCCGGCTGATGATGATGATGATGATGATGAATTTACAATACAAATTATTGATAGTCTTAAGCAAATTCTCATACGCATATTTCGCCTTTTTTATAAATACGAGCGAATACTTTTGCTTCTAGTCTAGACTCATGAGGTTTTGCCTATTCAAACGGCCCATCAGAATCATTTTCCTTGTCCGATTGATTACCAGTAAGATTTGAAGTGTTCGCTTCCGACATTATTGTATAACTTTTGTGAGAATTAAAATATATAATCATAAGGCTTTCAATATTTTTTGGCTTCAATGAATTTCTCCGAACATTTAAAATCCATTTGTACATTGAAAAAGATCGCTCTACGTCAACTGAGGTGAGGTTAGCAAATTTATACACTTCCTCCTCCTCGTCATTAGTGCAGGAAGAAATTTTTTCTGTTATATTTCTGATAGTGTCCAAATATTTCAAATGATTCCATTAGAGAAAGATCGGGTTTCTGTAGTGATGTCAAAACTGTTGGTATAATTGAAAAATTTTCGTAAATACGAGACAAATCATCCTTAATGTTGTCATTATTATTAAAAAAATTTAAAGCATTCTCTATTGATTTTGCCTCTTGACTGTTCAACACAGACAATACAGATTTAATTTCATCGAAATGCTTAGCGTAATAGAATGCTGCATTAAGCCAAGTACCCCAGCCGGTAATTACAGGTGCAGGAGGTAAAGGTAAATCCGGACACATTTCTTTAAAGATTTTAATTCTTTTTGGTGCCTTCAAAAAAACTTTTTTCATATTTGAAATTAAACTGTCAACATTAGGGTTCTCTTTTCTAATCTGCCCCGCAACAAGATTTAGAGCATGGGCTAAACATGTGAAATGCAACATTTTTGGAAAAGTTGATTTTAAAATTCCACCAGCTAATATCATGTATGCCACACTGTCTGTACATAACATTCTAACGTTATCTAGTTTGCTCTCAAGTGAACTTCCCCACATATTGTTTAAAGAATCTTGAACAAATTGTGATACCGTTGTTCCATTTACAGTATCTAGCATTTAATATGCTACTAAGTAAGGCTGATGGCACCTACTAGGTTGTAATGGTCTCACCAACAAATGTACGACAGCTCTTCCTAAGAAATCCGTAGTTTCGTCTACTGAAAGCCATAGCTTTTTATCTACAATCTTACTTTGCATCTCTTGTGCTTTGATTTTAAAAAACTGATCCAGGTAAACTTTTCTCAATAAGGATTCACTAGGTAGTTCAATATTTTTGCAATTGCAACACATGTACTTTTGAAAAAATGTTTTAAATACATTGTTGCTCAGTTGGGACCATGGTATGTTACAAAGAATCATAAATTCGATTAAGTCGAAGTAAAATTCTAAAGGAGTGTGGCTTCGTGCCTTTATGTACTGCTCCTTCTACATGCCTTTGGACGTTACTCTGACGAGTTGCATTCAAATGTGCTTCGCATTTAGAGCAGTAAATTAATCCACTTGCATGGTCGTAAAATAGCTGCGGATTATCATTGATCCACTTGTTGACGGTGGCTTCTTTGATTGAACTCTGCGCCATGATAATACTTTTAATCTGGAACAAAAAAAATATAAATTTTAGAAAACCGTATGAATGTGTTTGTAAGTATGTGAGAGATAGGGCACAACAGTTGCGAAGTTTAAAAGATCTAAGCGTGCATAAATTCATACAGATAGACAGACGGCGGGAAGCGTTTTATACTAAAGTTTAAAGCTAAAAAAGAAAATCAATAAAAGATTACCAGAAAATTTAACTCCAATCGTTAACCATATAGTCAATCAATTAAAAAAACGAGTCCCGTATGTTAAGCTTCTTCAGTAGCATTTGAAATCATTGTAACTTTATTGTGATTGTATCAAAGAACATCTTAAGTTAAACAATACCGATTTTGATAACAATACAAGAAAATGTTCTACATAGGGAAAATCTATTTTAAAGGAAATTTAATAAAAATATGAACAAGAAACTTACCAAGTATATCAGCAATTTCAAATATCCAATTATCCAATACAGTAAGGCCAAATCAAAGTCCGTTAATGCGTGCCGAAATAGTCGTATTAAGTAGAGTCCAGAATCCAGTAAACGAGCCAGGGTCAAACAGGATTGACTACACAAAACATAATAGGAAACAAGTGAGCGCATTCGACGAACCGAGGTAAGCGAATGAGCTGAGTGAATGAGTAAACCGATTCATTGCTAATAGATTTTTTTTAAATACAGTTCTAAAACAAATTAAGTTTAATAATATTTGTTATTGTTTCGAGTTGCGGATTATCTTGGGTTTATGCAGCCCAGTATCACTGCGACCATTGCTGATCTATTGTGATCTCCACATACTACAGTTCACGGTCAAGATTACATTCTACAAGGAACTGTAGTATTTTCTTGGCCGTAAGTTCTTTAATATCGTCTGGGTGCATCACGTGCTTTCCCAGATAGATACATCGTTTTCGCATTAGTGACGGGCAATCGGTCAAAATGTGCAAAGGTGTTTCCTCCTCCTCCTTGCATCCTCTGCACATTCTACTGCCGCTGATCCCCATATTGTACATGTGTCTGTTCAGTCCACAATGTCCCGTGAGTGCTCGTACTAGTGTGCGAAGGTGATTTTTGGTTAAGTTTAAGGCCTCTGATGCCGCCTTTTTGTTGAAGGTTTTAATCAGGGTCTTAGAGTGTTTCATACCGGGAGTGTTTCTCCATAGTTGAATAGCTGCGTAATGGCAGTATGTTTTCAAGGTGAGCTGGGTTAGGCTTTGAGGGATGCCACAGAAAGGTTCTGGTCCGATAAGGGCGTCTTTAGCACCCTTCTTCGTCAGTATGTCCGCCTGTTCATTGCCCTCGTGTCCAGCGTGACCTGGAACCCATCGTAGAACTACTTTGTTTTTGTTGCCCAAAGAGTTCAATGTCTGTTTGCAGTTCTCGACCAGCTTCGATCTAGTTACGTCGGAGGCTAGTGATAAGAGTGCAGCTTGACTATCAGAGTGGATGTAGATAGTATGATTGAGGTAGTTGTTTTGCAGATTGGCTGCCGCACATTCCAAAATGGCGTACACCTCCGCCTGGAATATTGAGGAGTACTTTCCCATGTTCAGACTTATAGCCTTCCTTGGGGATTCTCCATAAATTCCACATCCTACCTCAGGACCGGATTTGGAGCCGTCAGTGTACCACTTTAGGCTTCCATTTTTCCATACTATACGATTGTTTGACCAGTCGTCCCTGGTGGGTATCTCCACAAGATATGACTTGTGTGAATCGACTCTCGGGGGCATGGTGTCAGTAGGCATCCCCAGAATTGGTATGTTGCATATTGAGTCCTTCAGGTACCTCAAATTACCTGACAGCCATGTCTTCGCCTCCATGCTGGTAATCCTGTACATACTAGCCCTCGCCACCATTTCAATGTGTAGATGTAGGGGCGGCAGGTTTAGCAGAGCCTCAAGGGCAGCAGTCGGGGTGGAAGACATAGCTCCTGTTACTATAAGACAAGCAGTCCCTTGCAGACTGTTAAGTCTTGATATGATAGTACTCTGTGTCGTTTTTCTACTCCAAACCACCGAGGCGTAAGACACCATCGACCTTATGATGGCTGTGTAGAGCCAGAGGGCTATATTGGGTTTCAAGCCCCATCTGTTTCCCGCTAGCCGACAACATATCATCAGAGCTGTTTTAGACTTCTGTATAATTCCGTCTACATGTGCGTTCCAGGTAAGTTTCTGGTCCAGTGTTACCCCCAGATACTTGACCTCTGTCGAGAACGGAATGAGCCTCCCATTCATGGTCGGAGGCGAAAGCTTATCCAGTTTTCGTTTCCTTGTGAATGGGACGACCACGGTTTTGCCTGCATTAATCGACAGATTATTGTCTTTACACCATGAGTTAATTGTGTTCAGCGCCCTCTGCATAAGGTACGATAGCATACTTTGGCAGTTTCCTCTCACTATCACCACCAGGTCATCGGCATAGCCCAGGGTGTCAAGGCGGAGTTCAGCCATCTTATGGAGAAGCTGGTCCACCGCAAGAGTCCACAGTAGCGGAGAAAGTACTCCACCTTGCGGACATCCTCTTGTTGTTGCTAACTCTAGTGAATCGTTGAGTAGTTCCATCCTCACTGTCCTACTCTCTAGCATGGCTCTTATCCATCTTACTGTAGTGGAGTCAATCTCTTTATGGACTAATCCTCTTACTAATGTCTCGGTGGGCGTGTTATCGAACGCTCCTTCCACATCAAGAAAAGCAACGAGTGCTATTTCTTTATCGTCCAGTGCCTTTTCAACCTTGTCTATAAGGTTTAGTAGGGCAGTCTCCGTAGATCTGCCGCTTCGGTAGGCGTGCTGGGTATCATGTATGGGTTTATTGATGAGACTCCCTTGTCTGATATAATTGTCTAATCCATGGTCTTCAGAAGAAATGACGTAAGGCTGATTGGCCTGAAGGACTTTGGTGATGTATAGTCCTTCTTTCCAGCTTTAGGTATGAACACGACTTTCACCTTAGTCCACGGATCTGGAATGTATCCCCAGGCCAAACTGGCTCTGAAGATTTTTACCAGATAAGGGATGAGATTGGCGGCACCCCGCTGTAAAAGCACCGGGGCTACGCCGTCAATTCCACCAGATTTAAAAGGTTTGAACGAGTTAATGGCCCATTTCACTATTCCAGGCCCAATAACGAGAGCGGCTCTTCTCCAGCTAATAGATAGTTTAAATGCGGTAGAAAGAGACACAATCTAGTACATTACATTAAGTGGGGAGTGCTCTGCATTTGCGCTATTGTATTCTTTTGTTCTCACAAGCTATGTTGTGCGAACTACAAATGTGGCAACATCACGTGTATTGGTATTTTGCAACTTTGGACATCCGATGTCATTGATGTAAGTTTGCCAACGTCGTGCGTGCAGTAGTTTAAATTATGTAAAAGTAAATAATTTTTATTTAAAATCTCACGGGATTTTTTCTGCTCTTTAAAATTAATATCGGGATTTGAGGCATATCCAGTTCATTCTTTCGCTGTATGAAATCAGTGTAAGTGATTAACTCTACCTAATTCCGACCACTGCTTATTACTTAGAGATATAATAATAGATAATAATCTATTCTCAGACCTTCTGAATATACATATAAAAATTCATTAAAAACTATGATGCCGTTTCGGAGGAGTTTGGTAACTAAAACTGTGACTCGAGAATTTTGTATTTTAGATAATTAGTGCATATTTAAATAGTTATTTACCTGAACCTGCGGGTTATTTGCTAATAGCATCAGACAAAATGTCAGTCCAGCCGCTGTTGTATCATGACCCTGTTGATAAACGTGTATAAACTAACAAGACATATTCCATTATTATAAATTACATGATAACAATAAAGCGACCCGTTCTTACTTCGAACATAAACGTATCTACTTCTTCCTGAACACCAGTATTATCAATCAAGCCGTCTCTTTCAGCCGTTAAAAGAAGGTCTAGCATAGCTATCTTTTTGTTTTTTTTATTCAAATCATCACTAAGACTAGATATTATTTCCCTTCTTTGCTGGTCGGCGAAATATTTCCTTTCTCTAATAACTTTACCAGTAAACTCGTGTATTGCACTCACACACGCTTTTTGTTTTCTTGCAATACTTGTTAAATTGAATATCCACGGTGAATATAAGTACATTTTACTAAAACGTTCAACTAAACATTTTCCGATTTCATAAATGTTTTCTTTATAAATTCGGGCAGATTTTGATGACTCCAGTCGCGTACCCATAGCGGTTTCTGTAAAATTAAATTGGACGATGAACAACTTCTTGGTTTACTTTACAGTATTGCAATCAATAAATATTGAATATACATAAATGTCTCCCAACGGTATCCACATATAAATCATATAAAATAAAAAATGCTCTATTCTGACAACAGAAGAATAAATAAGTTTACCCACTTAAATATTAGTAAAAATTTAATCGTCTAAGCCAAATTTGCTAATATAAAATCAAAAAGGTGTAATATACAACCGCATATAGAGTTCAGTGTGAAGTCTGATAACAGAGGAACTAAATCAATCGGTTTTCCCACTTTAAAGCTAATTTCTTCCACCAAACGTCTACTGTTCTGATCCAAAATCTCATGAAACTGTTGCAAGATGTTAAAATGGAACGCCGGGGTAAGAATCTTTCTGCGACCCTTCCATTTTTCACCTAAACAATAAATAAATTATATAAAAACAGTTAGTAAACTAAATTGAGTTACATAATCATAAAAATAGATGTCTTGAATTAGTTCAAGTTCTTAGTATGTAATAATAACAATAAATTTATTTTCAAAATATTATAGTATATTTGTGTGGTATCTCAGGATGAATGCGTCTTGGTATCTATTTCCATCTCAAAATGTATCTAGGTTCAACCAGAATTGACTGTTTCAATGATTCCACACAGTGTTCATAATGATAATAAACGACCAGAAACTACGAATCTAAACTATATTGAACTCTACATAATAGTTCCGCAAGAGCTCTATTCGCTAGATTTAAGTGTAAGCTAATATTTTCAGACTCATTATTTCATTACAGTGATTGCGCTTATAACGTTAAATTATTCATGACAACTTTAGTCATATATCTTTTTTTCTAATAGATTCTTATGCATAGTTTATTTTCTTAGTTTCGATGATGAAATGTGTAATTGGATTGAAGTGTCTACTTTAAATAAAGTGGCTAATTATAAACTTGTTATGATTTCTTAAATTTATCCGTACACTATTTATATCTGCGTTTTAATAATTTTAAGATGACCTCTAAAAATAGTGTTTTGTGCTTCTAAATGATATGACATCGAGTAGATATACCCGTTCCAGAGTTGCTTTTATATTTTACTATGTTTGCAATTTTAGTTATAGGAAAAAAATCTAAAACCAAAACGATCATTTGTTCAAATCACTTTGTAATTTAAACGCAATATATAGGGCATAGTAAAGTTGTTTACTTATTTATCTATGGTCACGGGTATCTGGGAGTGTAGAATTTTTAAAGAAAGTATTTTTGGTTTATTTTCGCCGACGCCTTCGCCTGCTTAATACTGTATGTATAATACATAATATAAACCTTCTTTTTGAATTATTCTGTATATTGATGAAAACTGCACTAAAGTCCATTGAAGTTTAAATTGCAGACAGCGGGAAGATAATAAGCATAAAAATTATGATCAGTCCTGCGATTCTGTAAAAATCCGAACGCAAATTCGAATTATGTTAAGTGTACGAATCACATCAAAAGCGGTATTCGCTCAACATTGAATTGGTAATAGCGTTTCGTGGCATAAATTAAATCATTTTCGAAATACCCTAGGTACAGAATAGACACGTGTGAATCAATCAATCTTGTTTTAATTTTTTATACAAAAATGGAATTAATAGAATATCTACACTAAATGACGTGAATGCGGGCAAAGTCAAAGTCAAAATAATCTTTATTCAAATAGACTTCTTAAAAGTACTTTTGAATCGTCCAACATTTTTTCCCTGCCACTCGTTCAGGACGTCTTTTGGCTAATAAGAAGAACGAGCAAGAAACTCACCAGCTCTAATAAGAGTAATGACATTTACAAAAACCATGTCATTACTAGATCAATATATTATAAACAGAGATAAAAAAAACTATGGTCTTATAATGATAACATAATCATTTAATAATAATGGAAACAAGACAATGAGTTTAGAAGTAATCCCCTATCCAGTTGCTGGATCATCTCAAGTCCAAGCGTTCTTATATGACTGAATTCGAATTCAGGTTCGGATTTTTGCAGAAAAAAAAAGACTATTTTCGCTACATTGTGTAGATAGCTTAAAATTATAATTCCAATATTGCAGAAATAAATTATAGTTATTATTGTGTATTATTTACCGCCACTTAGTAATAAACCATCTCCCAGCCAAGGTCTTAGAAATGAATAAAAATAACTTTTCTCGCTGTGCTTCATAGTTGACATCACTACCTGTAAAATGTAATATTTTAGTTTTTAACTTTGAAATGCAAACAGAGATCAAAAAGTTATCAAACTAATGACATTGTCAAAGTGACATTTCACAGTTTTGAAACATTTTCTATAAGATTTTATTTATAATTGTATTATTAAGATATGTTTTTATTTTGCCTATATTAAGATTGGAGACTAAGTTCGTAGCATTTTATATTTCTTTTTTTACGGTTCTTTATAGTTTGACTAATTATAAATATTAGGTCCTTACAACAAAAAGTCGAATATTTTTAATATATTTATTTAATCAAAGTATAAACCATTGTTATATATGCACTTTTGCAATCTCATAGGCAGTTAATTGATTCCCTTACTAAAAAAACCATTCGGACGGGAATCAATGCAATCTTTGAAGGCGATTTTAAAATTTTTTCTCTTGCAAGAAGTTATCCAAATTTCGAAAAAATTGGTAATCTGTTGGAGCAATGTCCGGGGAGTACGGTGGATGTCTTAGAAATTCCAATTGAAGCTCTACAAATTTGGTAGCCGTCTGTTGTGCACTATGTGGTCTAGCGTTGTTGTGAAGTAGCAGTGACGTAGAGCGATTGACCAGCCTCAGTTGTTTAACAACTACTTTTTCCAGCATGGTTTGCAATTGCTGACAATAGACGTTTCCTGTAATCGTCTGGCCAGATTTGAGAAAACTGTAATGAACGACACCGGCATTAGTCCACTAAACGCTTAGAAGTAACTTTTTTGGGGTAAATTTTCGCTTGGGGCAGGATTGGCTGGTATGCCAGGGTCCAACCATTGCGATTAGAGCTTCCGATTATCGTAAAGAATCCACTTTTAATCACAATGATTCGATTTAAAAACACTTAATTATTGTGCCGGTTAAGTAATGTAACGCAGCAGTCGAAGCGCGTTTACCGGTTTGCTTCACTCTATTCGTGAGGTTTTTAATCTTTCCAATTTGCTTCAAGTTGATTAAAACAGGTTTATCACTAACACCGCAGCCTGCAGCTATGTTGGATGTGGTTTGCGATGGATCCGTTTCCACAATAGCCTTCAATTCTTAATTATTAACTTGGGTCTCCGGCCATCCACGAGATTTGTTCTGCAGGTCGCAATTTCCAGAACGAAAACGTTGGAACCTCAAACACACTGTGTTTTCTTTTGCGACACAACCGTCATACACATCATTAACCCTTCCAGATGTTCCCGCAGCAGTGCTACAACGATGGAACTCGTATTTTTAAATAACACGATATTTCAAGTTTTCCATTTTTTATATTGGGTGACGTAAATAGGACAATCAGAAAAATAAACTAATGAATGACGCCTAACGAAACACAAATATCAAACATAAATTCAAATTTATACAGCCATTTACACATGGTAAATGGCTGTATAAATTTGAATTTAGAATTCCCAACCAAGGTGGAGAAATTTGTGATTAAAGTGGCCAGTACGACATAACGCCAATTTCATATGTGAGGACCTAATATTATTAATTATTTCCAGAGAGCTTTGATTTTTTATGAATTTTGAAATTTAGAAGCGAAATATCCAGGAGTCAACAAAAAATATCTTCGGCACCTGTTTTTAATGGCAGCTAAAAAGCTGCAGCTGGCTGTGAAATTTATATGGAGTAGGTGCCATCTAAGAGAGTTTCATCATCCTGTTCCTAGGGTGCGACCGCCTGACAATAAGTCACGATGTTATATCCATATTTCGTTTCATTTTTCTACTTAAATAACGAACGAACGAAACATAGATTGATGATTATTATAGATTGACAGCAGTATTACCAACATGTGTTACAACAACAAAAAACCAATAAAAGACATGCCGAAATAGTAACATGAAACGATATATCATCATAACATCGCTAAGATGTCATATCCTGTGGCTAAAATCAAGAAGGCTAGACAGTAAGGAGGTCGCTCTGCTGTTCTTCAGATCATGTTGACTAGATCACAAAAATATTTTTTTATATTATGGACCTCTCTATCAAACTCAATAATCATTGGAATAATCCAACCTAAATTAAAGACGGGTGTCTACAGGCAAAACTTTGATTATCCTAGAAATAACTAGAACCAAAATATAATATACTTAGAGTCAGAGCTGTTCAGCCAGGAAAGATTTTCAATGGATATTTGTTTATGTAAATATTTTTAATCTTGTTTAATATTATGTATTTTATTGTCTAAAATATATTTAAATAACTAATTATTTAAATTATTTTATTTAATAATAATACTTCTTGTACAAATGTACAATGGCGGACTTCATGTCGTAAGTATTTTCTACCAGTCAACCTTAGGATGAGATGGAGACAAAAATAAAATCATAAATAGTTACCTCAATATCCTCTGGATTAAATATATTAACAGCTCTTATATTGAACGCGATAAATCTGTATATATCTTTCCATTTGTTTGCATAGCGCCTTCCCAATTTAAACAGTTCAACTGAAACAAAACGACATCATTTGAGAGTAATTCATAGTGTTTATATACAGAAGTTATCAACCTACATAGCTGAGTGTCTCGCACGCCGGTTTCAAGTTGTTATCGTCGTCCCGGATTCAATTATCGGTCAACGTAGACAATTAACTTTCATTGTTTAATCGAAATAATATATCTTTACGAAAAGGTTACTAGTGAAGTAGAAGTAAAGAAGGTATCATTTATCCCTATTCTATTTATTTATATTTATAATCTGAACTTCATTTATCCCTTTGCAAAAGCAGCAAACTATTTATTTGGATAATATCACAAATTTTGCAATTAAAAATACTACGCGTCGTGCCCAACGATAAGCTGACACTAAAAGTAAAGTATAATGACAATTCAAGTTCCAATTATGGTCACCGGGTTATATGATTTTATGGCACTGTAAACATTTGACATTGATTATATTTTCGTCACACTATAAAACACCAATTTTATTATTTAATACCTATTATTATGGAAAATTAAATTACCCGAGAGACCCGAATCAATATATAACTTCATTTTCCATGTTGATAGGATACCTCGAGACCTCAGAAATGAAGACTCCATGAAATCATCGTACGAGTAACTCCACCACGGAGGTCGTAAAAACATAAGTATTTTTGTAATAAGTGTTTTAAATACTTGCTAGAATTTTACAACCTCCGTAGCCAATTGATTCGCCGGTTTCTAAATATCCTTTCGCACCTACTAATTATCAAAGTCCTGTAGAATTTATTTTTACTCTTGTAGTATCTACTACATGCACAAATTAACATGACAGCTGTAGGTCTATTCTAATTCTCGTCCATACGACTCTAGAGAAACAAATCTTTCGATAGTTTATGCTGCAACGTAGGTAGAGCCTGACACTTCCTCTGGTATAAATATAATATTCATGGATTTATTTTAAAATTTCGATATTATAAGAACGATTTGATATTTTCCAAATTGTGATAGACTCTCGAATTTTAATTTACATAAAATAGGACCTCTGATGTCAGGTTAATGAGTATGAATTATTTAAAGAGACACTTTATACCTTCAGTTGTCCATATACGAAGTCAGTACCTATACCATATATTGTGCACTAGCTTTCAGTAACGTCCAAACGCACTCTTGAGTTTTTAGTAGTGCGTATATATGTTAAGAAAATTTGACAGCATGCGCATTACTATATACAGTCCCGGATTAGCCCATATGCAACTGCTTAGGGCTGTTGCACTACTACGTCTACTGCGACCCATTCATATAGGCAGACTAGGAATTGCCTATCAGGTCTATTCGCTAACTCAACTGACAACTAAGTTATGACATTTTCTTAAGTAATTAATTCTCTCAAATAATAAATATATATACAAGTGTCAGAACTGGATAATTAAGTAGGAATACGTTAATTGGTTAACTTGAGTAGCTCAGTGGCATAGAGAATAAGCTTCGCGACCAACAGAAGGGACGTAAACGGGCTAATGATGATGATAAATTGATTTGTATAAATTTATTTATTTCTATAAGCACTTAGTTGATGATAGACGAGAATAAAATTACATAAACGTTGTATAAAACTTATAAACTTATATTCAAAAAAGGTATATAAAACCTAGCCAGTGTCTGAATAACATAGAAAACAGGTGTTATCTACGATCAATCCCAAGATCTATCCAATAATCGAAAGACTATTGGTGGTATCATAACAAAGTAACTTGTAATTTTAAATAATAATAAATATAACAGGATTTTATTTTATTACAAGATACTGTAATTAAAAACACAAACATGAAATCAAATTGACCAAACTTTATTAAAAGCTTTTATTAAAAGCTTAAAATAATACAATATACATCGATCTTGCAGTCTTTTCGTGCTGCTAATCTCGAGTATAATAGTCGCAGAAGGCAAATCGATTTGACTTTATCTTTCTTTTTTACTTATATCATTTTAATATTATCGTCAAAATGCACCAATTCTGATTAGTTATTTATTTAAGCTTTATTGCACAAATAAAAATATACAAATGGCGGACTTTGAGGCATTCTCTATCAGTTAACCGGAGAGTTGTAGCAGAGACCTTTAAAAGGCCGAATCAGAAAAATAGCAAATTCTACACAAATTACATATATACTGTTACATAGAATATTTGCGCATGTGTGTCAACGACAGGTGGGCTACATAAATCATTCCCTTCATTTTAGTTTAATACTGCACCCCTGTCACCCCGCCCTCGTACGGCACTCGTCATTATATGAAGGTCGTATTCTTACACTGCCTGCTTACACTATGACTCCAGCGCTGAGATTATATTTACTCAAATACATTGATTTCGGGAGGTTTTTGGTCCCGGCGTTGCTTTACAAGAAGTTCCTGGTACCAGTAGGTGGTAAACTCCCTTATTTTCCTCGCTTCTGGTCCCGTTTCTACGAGCAGAGTCCTATCAGAGTAGGGCTGAACGTTCGCCCTCACCCTCCAATAGGGTGCAGTCTTTCCATATTATTAATCCGGGTCCGTTGGGATTCGATCAACGGTGTCGCTCAACAATTTTCTTTTATTCAAAAACTAACAATTGATCGATTTACAAAACCAAGGTGTTAATCCAAAACAACTTCATTAGCTCGAGTCATTCACCCCTGAATTGTCTGGGTTAGTCGGCCATCTCCCATTACTGATAATATTAATTTAATCACAATAAAACGTGTCAGATAATTTTGGGTTTTATTCATACTATTTTTGTTAACACAGGGGATATTGTGTTAACAAAAATAGCTACATTATTCAAAATAGACACCGCATTATTCTTTTTTGTTTAAAAGGGTATATTTTCGAATGGGTCCTATAGAAATATAATGTCCTAATTTATCGAAAACGAATCGGAAGTTTTGTTTTTGTATAAAAAATGGAAGAACTAGACTTCGTCCAAGTTACATTTACGATGTCGTTGCGTTGTCATTAAAAATTCATAAATATATGTTAAACTACAACCGAATTCAAAAAATATTCGAGGTATTATTCTTAAAAGCTACATTCAAAAGATTAACACATTTAATAAACTCAATTTGAATAAAATCATGGCCATAATTAATCCTCAAGTTGAGTATTCTTAATTTTGTCATTGTTTCTTGAAGATGTTACTTTATTTTTTTCTACTTTGCTCCAGTCCAGTCCAGATCCAGTGGCGGACAATCCTTATCGGAGACCCGGGGCGGGAATAGACCGAGATCGACAACTTTTTCCAACCAGGGCAAAAACTTGATATTGCGTTTACCCCTTCCCCCACCCCTTAGTCGGCCACTACATAGATCAAAAAATTAGACTGATATCGTAAAAATAATGTGCATGTGAAATTAATAAGTCATTTTAATTTATCTGATTAGTTTTTAATATTAAAAGTATCATAGTTACCTGGTGTTATTAATAATTCCAATGTATTTCCAATGATGAACACATCTTTCGGACCAGGAATTTGTCTTACGAGTCTCGCATCGCCAGTGCACAGAAATATGATATGTAATATACATAAAATAATTGCAGCTGCCAGGATATATAAAAACATTGTTTGCAGCATGTGTCTGCATCGAACGATAAATACGCGCAACTGATACGAAAATTGCCAAGTTTATTACGTTCTGACTGATAATTTAAATATAATATTGTTTATTTGTACTCCTAAGCAAGTTTAAGTGATGTTATTCTGAAAGTTGCCTTATTGTCCAATGCTTTCAGATTTATTTACGTAAGAACAAAAGTTTGGAAATTGAAACTTTATTATATGTTGATATTATACATATGTGTAGTAGTAGTGGGTAGCCATAAACGTAGTTTGCTTAGTTTTAATTAAGTAGATAACAAAAGTAGGTTGGTACTTAAGTTATTGATTAAGTGATAATTGATCTATGTGAAAATAGTTTTTTTATCACATCACTTCATAAGTCCTCATCATCACCAGCCTATTAATTTGCCCTCAAGCCCTCCCTAGGGATAAATGGAATCAAATTAAATGGGGAGAATGGGCCATGATTGACCACTCCAGCTAAGTGCCTATTAATCGGTATCAACGACTGCAGATGCATGCATGACCAACGGCTTAACATTCTTTCCGAAGCACGGAGGAACTCGAGATAATAAATTATTGGTCACCCATCCTATGACCAGCCATTGCGAAATTATCTTAGCAACCGTAACGCAAACTGAACGCGCTAACCACTGTGCTATCGAGCTCGATGATATTATTTTATTTTATTTATTTATTTAGCTCTCAAAAAAAAGTTACAGTAATATAATTGAAATAAATATACATAACTAAGGAATAAATAATTATTAGTATCTACATATAATTGTTTATATATGTTACGCCCAAAGAGCGAAAAAATAGTTCACAACGCGTTGTGGTCACAGTAAATATCCACATAGCTCAATTCGTGCTAGGGTACTTATGGAAACGTTCACACAAAATCCGTGTTCTGGCTGTCATGCTAATCGACCACAACGCGTTGTGGCAATGAAGAAAAACCATGAAGCATACTGAACCATATTTGATTAAGTTAAGTTAGGTTAGATATGACAAACAACGTATGAGCCGAACGAACAAAGCAAGCGTGCCGCGGCAGCGGCCGGCGAAGTGCCAGAAGCGAATTGCTTTTTAAATGAAGCCTACAATTTAGTAAAAAATATCGAAAATATATATATATATATATATATATTTATATAAGTATATAGTCTGTGGCATTTACATTTAAACGTTTGTGCGGAACTCTTCACGTGCGTGGCGTTCATCTTATATTTCTTAATAATTACATCGCAGTTTTTTATTCTACTTATTACAATTTTTCTGTGTTGTTAACCAACCATAATTAGATAGATTATGTTATAGTGTACCTATTATTATTGTTACATTGTAAACATTGACGATGTCACTTTTAATTTGCCTATAAATAGACTTCGTTTTTAATAGATGATTATGACACATAGCATATACTTTTTTATACTGTAGGTTGTTGTTGCCTCGGTTACAGCAAGATTCTCATTTGTAAAATACATTGTACAATCATTAGAACTGTATGCAAATTAATGTGTTGCAAACGTGAAGGATAAAAATCATGTAAATGTTTGTAATTAAGTAATGTTAAATATGTACTGTAAATTTTACATGAATAAACAAATTTAAAAAAGTCAAATCTTTTGTTTTACTCGATAGCTATAAAGAATTATTTGATGGTCAACTGGGAAGATATACGGGAGGCAGGGAGGGCTACGTTACATGTGCGGGATGGTGCGAAACCGGTTTATTGTCGAGCGCGTCCAACACCTTACACGCTGCGTGAACAAGTAGACCGGGAGTTAGACAACGTGTTACTTAATGGTACCATCGAGCCTGTCGAATTCTCAGAGTGGGCCACGCCGTTGGTGATAGTAAGTAAACACAATGGAAAATTGCATATATGTGCCGATTATAAAGTAACATTGAACCTCTCTTTGTTGGTCGATAGGTATCCATTACACCGTGTAGAAGAATTATTTTCAGACTTAAAGTGGGGTATGCAGTTTTCGAAAATTGATTTATCGTCTGCCTATAACCAAACTGAACTGGACGACGCAAAAAATACACTATCAATCTATCAATAAAAAATAAAAAATAACTATCAACACACATCGCGGCTTGTTTAGATATAATAGGTTGGTATACGGCTTAGCTTTGAATCCTGCAATATTTCAACGTATTATGACAAATATTATGCGAAATGTTCCGGGAGTTTCAGTATTTTTGGATGATGTATTGATAACGGCCAAGGACACAATAAATCATATTAAGACATTGGAAACTGTTTTTGAAAGATTTCGTAAAAGGAGTTTAAAATTGAAAAGAAAGAAATGCTTAGTTTTTGCAGATTCTTTTTCTTATTAAGGCTACATTATTGACTAGCTTTCGCCAGCGGCTTCGCCAGTGTGGTCCCTAGGGAAATGTTAAGTGGGATAAAAAGTATCCTATTATCTAAGTCAGCTAATACCCTATCTGTATACCAAATTTCATCAAAATCCATTCAGTAGTTTCGGCGTGATTTAACTTTTTTAATTAGGGATGACTGAGAGTGTTATAAACGTAAGAGTAGACAATAGACAAATACAATCAGATAGCTTCGAACTGCTAAGCTATCGGGAGTTACACGTGTTATTGTGAGTCAACCATAAAAGATAGATATATGCTGTCGTGGGATATTTTTTATATAATTTTAAGGAGAATATTTCCGTCATACATGATTTCTGAGTAGCTTTAACCATTAAGGTTGCACACGCGACGGAAGCTTAAAAAATGGAGTAACTTCTCCCGTTTTCCTAACATTTCCCTTCACTGCTCTGCTCCTATTGATTGTAGCGTGATGAAAAATATGCTATAACCAGCTCAGGAGTATGAAAAATAATTGTACCAAGTTCCGTTAAAATCCGTCGAGTAGTTTTTGTTTCTATAACGGTTATACAGACAGACAGACAGACAAAAATTTTACTGATTGCATTTTTGGCATCAGTATCGATCCCTAATCACCCCCTGATATTTATTTAAGAAATATATTTCATGTACAGAATTGACCTCTCTACAGATTTTTTATAAGTATAGATAAAGACGGTTTTCGTACGGATCCCGATAAAGTGGAAGCTATGGTCAGATTGCTTATACCAACAAAAATCGAGTTGCGGTCTTTTTGAGTATGGTTAGTTTTCATGATAAGTTAATTAAAAATATAAGTTCACATTTAGCGCCATTATATTCTCTACTTAAGAAAACATCTAAGTGATGGTATTGGAGCAATCAGTGTGAAGGCGTATTTATTTTGATTAAAAAGTTATTAACGAGCGCTAATGTGCTCTCGCACTATGATCATAATAAGTTATTAGATGCAAGCGCGCACAGAGTGGGAGCTGTACAGGGGGGGCACTCTTCACAGTATGCCAATTTTCGTAGTCGACAGCGACATCTACAGATTGGTTGGTGAAGCTTTGGTTGTCAAATTTATTTGACAGACAATATGGCCGGTCTATTTCTCTCTGTCTGGCTTGTTTGTAGATGGTGATGCGCTTGTTGAATTTCTCGGTGTTTTTGTTTTTGTAAAATCTCATATTGTTAGTGTTTTTGTTAAGTTTCTTGTTATTTTCTTTGTTAAAACTGTGTTTTCTTGTTTATTTGTTAAACTTTCTTTTGGTTACTTTCGTAATAATGAGTGGAGTTCAGAAGAAATATTGCATATTTGGCTTAAGTAAGTGAGTCTAAATGATTTATGATTTCACTCAAGCAATAAAAATATTTAAGCTGCATCTTATGTCGCTTTACATCGAGATGCCTTAAACAGGATTTAAATGATGTGAATAATGTTTACATTAAGTTTTCGTCATTAACATAACTATCATTACTATTTCAGCTATCCAAAATGTACCTCTCCATCGATTTCCAAATCCCGATAAGCGCTCCCGATTATTTACTGCTTGGGTGTCTGCAGTTAGTGAGAATATTGGTGAAAACAATCCTCAAAAAATTTATAAGTACAAGAGAATATGTGATCATCATTTTAAGACGAAGATTAAGACTACTGGAGGACGTCTCATTTGGTCAGCTGTACCGACAACTTTCGATCGTATGTTTATATATCTATTTAATTATCATAATCACCAGCCCTTTAATGTTCCCACTTTGGCTCGGGCCTTCCTTATGGGGGTCATGGCCCAATGCGGATTGAAGGGTATTAACGACTGCAAATACAGCCGGGACCAACAGCCTAACGGCACAGAGTAGCTGGAGATAATCATTTTTTTGTCATCCATCCCGTGACCAACCTTTGCGAAAGTTGCTTAACGACTACGATCGCGGGACGCGGCGCTTATCCACTATGCCACCGAGATACTCCATATATCTATTTACTATCATTGAATTCCTTTCAAGCTATCAAATTTGTCAATGTATTTTTTGAATGTGGCATGATAATCAAATGGTAGCGCTAAACAAACTACATTCATAATGAAGAAAGATGAACTTTTTTAATGTAATGAATATTGTTTTAGGTGTGAAACAATCTATAAATATTTTAATGGATATTGAACATAACTACTGTCATTCTAGAAGGGAATTTTCACTTTCTACACTTTGATCCGATGTAACTAACATACAAAATGATGTCAATGGTCCATCTAGGCTCTATCAGCTTGGTCCATCTACATCAAGTGAAATATGTCATCCTCAAGTTTCACAATCCAAATTTGATTCAGGTAACATATTTTTTCTATTTATTTACAACATACCTATTCTATATTTATTGAAACTCCATAAATATATATGTAGTTTCAGTTAACATCAATTTTGTTTATTAATTAAACAATGTAAAGATAAAATTATATGTTAAATTCAAAGCCTTCTATGTATACTATTAGCCAAGCTATTCAGAATTAAAATTGTGACACCATAATTGTTTAGGTTTTGTAAAGGGTAAGGGATAACTAAATGATATGTTATGAAAGTACAACATATATAGAAGTCTTTAGTTATATTAAACTGATATTGAATCGGTTCATAGACATCTGTAT